GCCCGGTGCGGTTCAATCTTCATTGCTCTCACTCCATTCAGATTTCAAGACTCTCGTTCATACCCCCTTCCACGGTTGACCATGAAGTACAACTCTATCGCCCTGGCTGGGGCTTCGATGCTCCTGGGCCGTGCCATTGCTGCCGACTTGCCTGAGATTGCCATCAAGGTATGTGCACGGGGGAGACAAGGAACACGAGTGAACCGGTGTTGACTGTTTGATTGGTGTAGGGCAACAAGTTCTTCTATTCCAACAACGGAACCCAATTGTGAGTCTTCCTGCCAATTTGTAACGAAGGTGTCAGCCGTGACTAACCAATTCCAGTTACATGCGTGGTGTCGCCTATCAGCGTACGTCGATGGAGCATTGTGTCAAAAACTTACGAGGGGCGAATCTAACCGGTTTACAGAGGACTACACGGCCAATGGCACCTCCTCGGACAACAACGACTACATCGATCCCTTGGCCGATGCCACCTCTTGCAAGCGGGACATTCCCTACCTGCAGCAGCTCCGCACCAACGTGATCCGTACCTACGCCGTGGACCCCACCCAGAACCACGACGAGTGTATGACCGCCCTGGCCGACGCCGGCATCTACCTGATCACGGATCTGTCGTCGCCTTCCCAGTCCATCAACCGCAATGACCCCCAGTGGAACACTGCCTTGTACGACCGCTACACCAGTGTGATCGATGCCTTTGCCAACTACACCAACGTGATCGGCTTCTTTGCCGGTAACGAGGTCACCAACGACAACAACAACACTGATGCGGCTGCTTACGTCAAGGCTGCTGTCCGCGACATGAAGAAGTACATCAAGGCCAAGAACTACCGCACCACCCTTGGTATCGGTTACGCCACCGACGACGATGCTACCATCCGTGACGACCTCAAGGACTACCTTGTCTGCGGTGACTCTGAGGACATGATCGACTTCTTCGGTTACAACATCTACGAGTGGTGTGGTGACTCCTCCTTCAAGACCTCTGGATACCAGGCTCGTACCGAGGAGTTCAAGGACTACCCCGTTCCCGCTTTCTTCTCCGAGTACGGCTGCAACGACCCCTCTCCTCGTACCTTCACCGATGTCCCCGTTCTGTTCGGTAGCGACATGGATGACGTCTGGAGCGGTGGTATTGTCTACATGTACTTCCAGGAGGCCAACGACTATGGTCTGGTCTCGGTTTCCGGCAACAGCGTCAGCACCCTTAAGGATTTCTCCAACCTTTCGTCTCAGATGCAGAAGGCCACCCCTACCGGTGTGAACAGCAACAGCTGGTCCGCCTCCAACACCGCTACCAGCAGCTGCCCCACCGTTGCTTCGGCCTGGGAGGCTAGCAGCTCTCTGCCCCCCAGCCCCAACGACGCCCTGTGCGACTGCATGGAGGATTCGCTGAGCTGCGTTGTCAAGGACTCTGTCTCTTCTTCCAAGTACGGTGATCTCTTCGACTACATCTGCGCTTTGAACGACGGCAAGTACTGTGCCGGCCAGGCCAGCAACTCGACCAGCGGAACCTACGGAGCCTACAGCGTCTGCTCGACCAAGCAGCAGCTGAACTTCGTCATGAACCAGTACTTTAGCGCCCAGGGTGCCTCGGCCAGCGCCTGTGACTTCAGCGGCAAGGGTACCACCACGTCTTCCCAGTCTCCCACTGGCACTTGCTCTTCCTTGTTGAAGGAGGCTGGTACTGGCGGCACTGGCTCCGTGACCTCTTCCCCCACTGGCGGCTCTGCTGCCAGCGCCAGCTCCAGCTCCTCCGAGGGTGCTGCTGGTATGGGTGTCAGCCCCATGGCTGTCTCTGTTGGCAGCTGGCAGCTGGGCGCTTACGCCGTGACTGCTGTGGGTGCTGCCCTGGGCATGATCTTGCTGTAAGCGCAAGACGGAACGGTGACTGGGTGGAGGAAGCAGCCAGAAAATGATTATACCTGTAACCTTTACCGTTGGATTTCTTAGCCGTACATAATTGAACCGGTTCTGTATACGTTCGTTTTCGTCTTTAAGATTGAATTGATGTGTTCATGTTCGTTCTAAAACCTCTCATGCCAACTCATGTGCTTTGAGTGTAGTGTAGATGGATCTAGCCTAGATGAAACGTTTGGTTTGAAAACTCCGTCGTATGCGCTGTTAATCAGCTTATCGTCTGCTTGCGGCCCAACAGTGGGTTGAGGTGCATTTATCATGCAGCTGCAAGCCAACCGGCTCGGCGGGGCGATCCGAGGTCGGCGCGTGAGAGCGCAATCGCCGAGCGGTGCGATGGAGTCGCTTCGGCCACACAATCGGGATGCCGAGAGAGGAGGGGAGATATAAATGGCTGTATTCTCGGAGAAGCTGGTTCAAGTCAATGTTTGTCAATTGTATAGAAAAATCAATAGAATAAAGAAAAGACCATGCCGGCCATGGGAAAATTCTTGAGTGGTGATGACCTCGAAAGAGCAGCCGCCACCACCACCAGCACACCACTGCCGACCGAGCATCCAACCGCACCTTCATCCTCCCTCTCCTCCTCATCCTCATCAACACACACTCTCGACCCGAACACCGATCCACACCAACCACAGCAACAATGGACCGTCCGCTCATTACTCTCCCTCCACTCCCCTCCCCAAAAGGGCTATGAGCTCCCGTTCTGGCATAAAGCCATCGTTCTCTTCATCGTGAGCTGGATGACCCTCGCCGTGACCTTCTCGAGCACGAGTCTCCTCCCCGCGACGCCGGAGATCGCGGCCGAGTTCGCCACAACCACGGAGATCATCAATGTCACCAACGCGGGCGTGCTGCTGGCCATGGGGTTCTCGTCGCTGATCTGGGGCCCCATGAATGCGTTGATCGGGCGGCGCGTGGCGTACCTGTTGGCGATCTCCGTGCTGTGTGGGTGTTCGGTGGGCGCGGCCGTGGCGGGCGATATGCGCGTGTTCACGGCGATGAGGGTGTTGGGCGGGTTGACCGGTACGGGGTTTATGGTGACGGGCCAGACGGTTTTGGCGGATTGTTGGGAGCCTGTAAGTTTCTTTATTTTCTTTGTGGATTGAGGAAAAGGGCGAGGGGGTTGGGTCTCTGTATCTTGAAGTATATCCTGAACGGGGGCGATGGGGATATGGGAGATGATCTTTTAGCTTCATGCATATAGCACTCATGGTATCGTTCTTTCGGTACGTCAACTGACACCCTCCAGACGGTCCGAGGTACCGCAGTTGGCTTCTTCATGGCAGGCACAGTCGCCGGACCAGCCATTGGTGAGTATATAGTCACTCCCTGCTGTCTCTGTCCGCTTCTCTAATGACAACAACAACCAGGCCCCTGCATCGGCGGCATCATCGTCACCTTCGCCAGCTGGCGTAACATCTACTGGGTGCAAGTCGCCATGACCGGCTTCGGGCTCGTGCTGGCCATCCTCTTCGTCCCGGAGCTGTCGTCGGTTGACGCCAAAAAATCCATCACCCTCGAGGAAAAAGCCCCTGCGCGCCGTTCTCCCTCCGACCAATTCAAGCACATCCTGCAGGCCTTCAACCCGATGCGCGTCTTCAAACTCTGGATCTATCCGAACATCTTCCTAGCTGTACGTCCATCTCCTGTCCTCTCAGAAACAATCCTAACAAAAGAAAAGGACCTCACCTGCGGCCTCCTCTCGACCTTCCAATACGCGATCCTCACCTCCGCCCGCTCCATCTTCAACCCGCGCTTCCACCTCTCCTCCGCTTTGGTCAGTGGCCTCTTCTACCTCGCCCCCGGCGCCGGGTTCCTGGTCGGCAGCATCGTCGGCGGCCGCCTCAGCGACCGCACCGTGAAGCGCTACATCGCGAAACGCAACGGCACGCGCCTCCCGCAGGACCGGCTGAACAGCGGCCTGATCACCCTGCTGGGGGTGCTCCCGGCCGGCGCGTTGGTGTATGGGTGGACCCTCCAGGAGGGCAAAGGCGGGATGGCGGTGCCGATCATCGCGGCGTTCTTTGGGGGCTGCGGCCTCATGGGCAGCTTCAATGGGCTGAACACCTACGCGGCCGAGGCGCTGCCGCACCGGCGGTCCGAGGTGATCAGTGGGAAGTACATCATCCAATATCTGTTTTCAGCGGGGAGTAGCGCCGCGGTGGATCCGCTGATCGGGGCCATTGGGGTTGGGTGGACGTTTACGATTTGTGAGTTCTCTTCTTTGAGGGGGGGGGGGGCGGGTTGGTTTTGGTGATAGGGTTGTTGCTGACTGTGGTGACTGTTTAGGCGTCTTCTTTTCGATCTTCGGGGGCGTGTTGGTGATGCTGATTACGAGGTGGGGGTTGGATATGCAGCGGTGGGTGCAGAGGAGGGTTGGGGCGGATCCGTGATTACTCCGAGTGGGTGATGAGGTTATGATTGATGATTGTTTATGATTTATTGGGTAATGTTTGTATGTTTGGAGGTGGAGATGAGATAGAGGGGTTGGTGGTGTTCTCCCAAGCATGAGGAGTGGTATAAAGAATAATATAGAGACTGCATATCGATCGTGATAGGATTGACTTAGCTTGTTCACCCTGAATAAGCAGGTTGAATGAGGGTCTAGCCGTTTGGTAAAAGGTAAGCATTGGTATGGTATGGTAGGATATACCATGAACAAGGTGTGGATGCTAAGAACGAGGATCTCTCCCCAGATTTTGACAAGGATCCGTATCACAGAATATGCAGTGGATGAAATGTTGGAAGCAGAGTAGGCAGGTCTCAGGGATCTTCATCATGACCAAAACTCTAGAAAGGGAATGTAGATTGTAGCATAGATGATGTTCATCTTTATGAATCGGGGTTTTACCACGGAATTGACGGAATTATAGCGACGACCATGGTCTGACCCGGCAAGTGGTGCCTTTAATGATCGCTGTGGTGATGGTGGTTCGTAATGTGGGGATCTATTTTTTGGGGGATTGGGCGGTATTCCCTCCGCAATCTGGCCTCCATCCGAAGCTCTCCGCGATCATGTCTCCCCTAGATCACTACACTAGTGCATCAGGTATCATTCCCAGAACCTCTACAGGTCAATGACTACTGGTCATCCCCTCATACCCCCCCTCATTCAGATACGTATCCACCTGCAGCATCCCCAGATCGAAATCACTCTGCGCCAGAAAGTCCTGCATCGTGGGTTCCATAAACGCCATCGCCGTCGTGAACCCCCCACTGCTGTCCCGGAGCTCCACGGGCAAGAACTCCTCGACCCCGGCCGCGGCGGCCGCCGGCCCACCATCCACCGTCGTCGACACCACCGCCGCAGTCGCCACCCCGGGCCCGATCGCCGCCGTCGCCGCCGCGGCCGCATTCTGGCTCCGCCGGCGGTCGCTCAGGTACCGCCCCAGACACTCGTGGACCACCTTGAGGTGCTGGTAGAACTCCGACGCCGCCAGGTTCCCGTTCTCGCTCATCGAGCGGAGCACCTCCAGCCCGGTCTCGAACGAGTTCATGTCGGCGGCGCTCCCCATCGGCGTGAAGCTGGACATGGCGAGGACCAGGGCGGACGAGAACAGGTAGTGCGCGTGGAAGTAGCCGAACGTGGGCATGGAGCCGTTGATCCACCGCGTCAGGATGATGGAGTGGGTGTGCCGGGCGGCGTGGACGCACGCCTCCCCCAGCGTAAGCACGGGCTGGGAGATCTCCTCCGACGCGGGCTCGCTGAGCTTGATGAGGATGTGGAGGAGGGTGGGGCGCGTGGTGATGATGACACACTGAGCTGCGAGTTAGGTAGATGCAACCCAAGACACCTCGGTGCACTGCGTACGTACCTGGTTGAAGGATAAATGCAACGATCCGACCGGTGTCCGACTCGTTTCCGGTTCCTCTTGGTTCAGACGTAGATGCTCCGGCAGCGTTTCCACCCAGTTCTTCAGCGCTTTCAACAACTTCTGCACGCGCTGCAGAAACGTTTCGCTGTACTTGCGTCGACTGTACAGTTTGGCGATCGTCTCGCCAACAATCCGCGCCAGACTGATGTTCGCCTTCAAGTATTCCGTGTCCGAGAACTGCTCCTCGTGCAAGGCGATCGGAGTGATCGTCGACGGCATGTCCAGATGGATATCATCGTCCAGGATCTGAGACGGCACTCCCATCTTCGAGCCCCACATGCGATCGAAGATGTAGATCGTCCACCAGATACGCACGCGGTGCTGGCGTTCCACCGGGTCGATCAGCTGCGATTCGGGAATGTTGTGGTTAAGACCAATGGTCAATCCCAGCCGCATCGCGCTGCCAATCAGCACGTAGGCTGAATGCCTCCGGTTCAGGTAGTAGGAGAACAAAGACTGGATCATTAGCAGAGTCCCCGCAGCCTGGATCGAATGCATACCAGCAACAAGAGCGTCTCCAAATGGGCGATGCTCGTCCGCTCCGGCAGCACCTGCACGAGGCTGAGCGCACGCGCGAAATACTTGGTCCCTGGCACCCGCGACCCCGAGGAGGATTCATTGCGCATGGAGTATGCCTCGCCAAAGGCGAAGAGCGCGAAGAACTTGCATTGGTGGACCTTGGCCTCGAAGTCGCCCGTCTGGTAGATCTCCTCGAGCTTCTCCGTCGTCGATTTGCGCAGGACCAGATGGTAAATGAACCCGATCTGCCGCAGGGCGATCTTCAGCAACAGCCGGGCCTGCTGCAGACTCGGCCAGCCAATCTCGCCCGCGGTGGCCGCACTGATGCTCTCGTCGTGGACGTACTGGGTGCGAGGGATGTGGGCGGTGGCGTTACTCCCCGTCAGGAAGCGCCGGAAGCGCGTCGCAAACGCGGTGCAGGCGGCCTCCCCAATGAAGATAGGCGGCGCGGAGGGATCGTAAGGATGGAACCAGGCGCGATCCCCGATTAAGGGATTGCGCACGTTGTTGGGATTCCCAGTTTCCAGGTCCGGGGCTTCTGCCGGCACTCGTGACGGCCCGCGCCCCGAGACGCCGCCCCCCTCTGGGTCCGCATCGGTCGGATGCTCCGGCGCTCGGGGCTGTTCGCGCAGACGCTGGTTCTCCGCTAGCAGGCGTTGCAAGAAGCTGCAATCATGCTGGCATTAGATCAAACCCTGTGTAAACTGGAAGCGTGAGATGTGATGTGATGGAGAGTCCTCCCTACCTTTCGCTTACTTTCACCTGCCGATCGCGAGGCGTGTACTCGCATTCATCGGCACAGCCAACCTGCCGGCATTTGAGACACGGCTGACCCCCTGAGCATTTAATCTTGTGCGAATGGCAGCGCTGGCATCTAGATTGGCTCATCAGCCGATTTGCTGGGATGCCATCTGCAAGGGGGGGGGAAGAGGAAGGGAAACATACGCGATGAATTTCGGCCGCTTGGAGATCTCGACCTCATCGGTCGTTCTGCTATGTTTTCTACGGTTCATCAGTCATGACGAGACAGAGGTAGTTGTCAAAAAAAGGAGTTAGAGGAATTTGAGATCGGTAGATGATCGTCATGTACGTGGTTGATAGTAGTTTTTTGAGTTCCAAGTTAGTACCGAGTAGTTCCTGCCAGTGTCCGGTTGGAAGGAGTTGAAGTTGAGTTCGGCCGGCAATCGGTGAATTCTGCCGACCTTCCGGCCGATCCCCGATTAGGCATGAAGGGCATTGGATGATGGATGGATGGATTTATGGATCGATGAATCAATGGAATGTTCGACTCCCGTCGGAAATGTACAATAGGTGAAGTTACTCGGCTTCCAACTTAGAATTAACTTTCAAGTATCCAGCTGCGCGTAGTACAGTCACCCCTTTGGGAATTCTGCAAGCTTTGTAACGGCCGTAAGTCGGGACTATTCGGTGATACTATTCAGTAAAACTGTGTGTGTATGTGTGTGTAAGTTATGTGATCTCCAGTCGCGTTGGCTGGCTGGCTGAACTTTTATCTTTTGTACTGTACCTGCTCTGTAGCAGCTCCAATATCTCGCCACCTTTGCAAGCACCCTCCCCCCCTCTACGATGGAGATGACTTGGTGGTGGTTGTGGTAATTGTTGATTGTGGTGGTTCCACCTGGCATTTCCCTCCCCCCCCCCCCCCGCAGTCCGTGTGATTGCCCAGTGCCTATCAAATGTGGTGTCCAGATGTTTGGCACTGCCCGTTCAGAGGCTCTCATCCCTGCACGGGAAACAACCCTTAACAACTTTGAAAAACCTAGTGAGTACTGACTCGCTCAAATTCTTGCTGCGCGACTCAAGGACGAATGACATGGGCTGCCTTGCTTATTTAACCAGTTAATCGGGTCGGTTATAACCCAATTGCGAGTCCAGCGGATCGTCCCAGCTGGAAACTTTCCATACCCACTCACAGCACGCTCGGGTTCTCAGCCCGCCCATCACAGTTGAAATCCCCATGTGGTCTGCTTGGGTGTTGTAGATCCGACCATCGGGTGAAGAGCTCCTTCTTCCGGCTTGAGTGGTGATCGTCTTCTTTCAAGTGTGCGGATTCCTCTTCCGCTACGCTAGTAGACGGGTTTGGAATTGACCTGGTAACTTACTGAATAGTACCGAGTAGCAGATTCGGCCGATTCTCCCATGTCAATCGCCGCGTTAATGAATGCTCGGCCAGCGGGAAAATCCCTGGTTCTATCGGCGGGGGTGCTGCAACAAAATCAAGGCAGTCGTCGCAGATGACAAGCAACAATGGAATTGGCTCAATAGGAGAGGGGAAGGGAAGAGCCGGGATTTCATCCTCTGGATTCTTTCCTGGTCGCAATGGGGGGGTCTCTTTTATTTCGATCCCGAGAAGCAAAACAGCAGAGAGGAAGAATGCCACAATCGCTTAAAATCAATTTTCCTAGGCACTGGAAAGGGTAACCAGCCTCTCCAGCTGAGCACTAGAGAGAATGAGCAAACGTCGAAGCTTCAAAGGCCCTGACAATCGTGGGTTCTGACCAATGGAGGAGGATCGGCGACGTGTTCGAGCTGGTGAGGATCAATTCAAGTTGAAAAATGCAGATTTGCAGGCCTCGCTTTCGACGAGGTTCGTATTTCTCGACCTCCAACCGGACGGCAAGAACTCTCTCTCTCTCTCCTGTCTTTCTCTCCGTCTCCCTCCCACCACTCACTCTCTCCTTCTTATCCTTCCTGTTCGGCCCGGCTTGGGTACCCCAATTCTCTCTCCAGTTCCCTCATCCCTCGATCCCCTCGCATCCACTTGTCTCCATTCAACTTTCAGTTCAGGCACTTTAATGGGGAACCACGAAACCACAATAGGGAAACTCCAGGAGACTCTATGAGAAAGGCCCCGCCCAGACGTGGGTGAGTGTGATTGATTAGTCCCATATGTGTGGGGGTACCGTGACAATCATGGATGGAGTCTCCGCGGAATTCTTTTCCACGCCAAGTCAATCTTCCGCCAACATCAATCCCATCCATCTATGGTCAAGCGCACACCTGCTGGAAAGTAGATGCAAGAACCCGTCCCCCCCAAACAAGAGAGGTCGAAGAAACCAATATCATGGCTAGCAATAGCTCGAAAGCCCACGCTAACTATCGCAGCATGAGAGGAGAACCAATGTGGCCCCCGCGCACAACGTGGCTGTCTGATGATGGCCGCGCAGGGCCCAGGCTTTTCTCACCTGTGTGAATTGGGCAGGACTGTCTCCCTCCCCTCCCGTTCGTCTTCTGCTTCCTCTCTCCCTTGTTCTCCTGTCACTCCTTGCCACTTCTTCTGTTAATCAATCCTGTCTCTGCTTGCCTGGCAACGCTGACAAGAATTCAATCATTCTCATCAACTTCAGTTTCGTCTAGGTGCGGATGCCCACCTACAGGAGATCAGGGGTGTGCGGGCTGGTTCCCGCGTCGCCATGAGACACTCGGGGGAGTGCGTTTCTTCTCCAGGCTAGCCGTTGGCACAAGGGGCATGTTCAGGTATGCACTTCAATTGTTATTCAGAGTCATCTCTCCTCTATGGTCCTGACCTCTGATTAACGTGCGTCAATCTGCAGTTTCCACCGGTCGGGCGGGGCAACTGGCTCACTATCGCCAGTCAGGCCATTTTCATCAACCAGGCCCGAGCCCGTATTCGAAACCTGAACACACGGGGTGACGGTCTGTTCGAAACGTCCTCAGTGGAAGGGTGTCAAAGTCACAAGATCACCGAGCTTTCCCGGGAGCCATGGTTGAAGGAGAGGAGGCGACGGCAACAAGCACGGTCAAAACTTAGTTCGCTACACCTCAGAGTGTCGACTCATCATCAGTTCTATTCAATTCTCCTGGTGTCCTGATCTCTCGCAAAATCGTCGTTAGGATCCTTTGCGCATCACAAAAAAGCCCCTGACTTACATGTTTCGTGACCCATGTGATCCCTTGGCTGGCCTTGCCCGTCATTTGTCACCCTCCGAAGTATGGTTAGTTATAGGGAATTGACACAATTAGATCGGATTCACTGGACTATGAGACCCTCCGGGTTGATAAGATCTGCTCCGCTAAGTCCTCTCATGATTGTTGACGATCGACTTTGCATTGACGGAAAGTGTTGGGGAGCCTCACGATAGCATCACACTTCAGAAAGCTAAAACGTCCTGTGACAGTTTGGGCTTTATGTTATATTCTTGATTTTCACAACACAAAAGTCGTGGGCTTCAAGCGAGCTCAACCACCTGCCATGGTCCCATTGACCATTGAGACGACGTAAGATATAACGAGCCCCGAGCAACGTGCCGCTGGCTCACGAGAAGACCAAGAAAAGTGCACATGCGTTATAAGTCGGTGTCCCCTCGAGAAAGCAGGCCTCCGCAGCACGTATATTCATATCACGACTTGTTCAGATGTTCGGATCATGCGTACGAGGTGATGATGTGTCTGGTCTGTCACAAAACGGTAGACGGGTCGGGTCAGTTGGGCTATCGGTGGCTCTCGGCTCGAAAGAAGCGACCATCAGCACACGGCTCTTCCGCTCTTTCAAATAACGACAGTCGCATATCTGGGGAAGTGGACAGGCTTGTTGTGGGAGCTGTGACGTGGCCGCACCGGCTCTTTTCTCTGCTCAGCGTGACTGATGAAAACAAATTAGTACCCGAGCATCGGTTTGCAACATAGGCAAGACTTTCTCAATAACAGAGGTGGAACATGGAAAATAAGGAGAGGTGTATACCAGCGAGCGAACGGAGGCTCTCATCCTGTTACCTGCTCACATGGGGCAGAATGACCGCGACAAAATGAGCGTTGCTGTCTCAAGGGTATCAACACACTGTCCCTTCAACGCTGCCAGCCTACGCCATCGATTTCATCATCTTCCGCAGTCTCAACGGTCTGCGTGAAGATTCTGCCCTCATAGCCACGCCGCTGGTTTGTTGGAATGATGGGTTATCTCCCTCTGGATGCCCCTTGTTGTCCTGTTCGCCACGAGACACTGATAGCCAACGGAATCTTTGCTGGATATTATCCCCGCCACCAATTCGAACACCAAAAACCTCGAGGGTATAGTGCCAGAAGCCGGTGGGTACAGGTGGCGTCGGGAAAAAAAACATTCATCGAATCTGATATCCGAGATGTTCAGCTGTATCTATTGAGTACTGGGACGGTTTTGCAATGCTGTCTGCGCGAGACAGCGGGTTGTCCTTTGATCTTGGCATAATTGGAGCGAGCCCCTCTGCAGGACTAAGAGACAATTCACATCCGACCAGGCTTCTGTTGTGCAAAGAAGGGCCTCGAATCCACAGGTCGCTGAAGGTCACAAAGAGATTAGGTGTCGGAATAAGGAGAGATCGACTTGCTTTCCAACAACCATCAGTCGTATATCTTGACTCCAAATCGGAGACGATCGAGATGGCGGCCTCTCTAATCTGTTTTCCCCTCTTCATTTCTCGCTTTCTTTTTTCTCTGGCTCTTGCAGCAATGTCGAATTGTCGACCCCGCTTGTTATATCAATGGGTTTTCTTTTCTTTCCTTTTTTTTTTCTTCAAATTTTTGTCATTCATTTCTGATGAATTTTGCCTCCTACGATTGCAGGGGGGAAATCGGGGGTTACCACGGTATACAACCCTTGGTTACGGTGCCAAACAATGGTGCTCGGGAGGCGCGAGCCGATTTCCGCCCAACTGTGGCAAGTACGCCCACCCGGCAGTCGTCTCCAGCCTACCACACTTCACCTTGGCTGGGTTCTGGGTCTCTTTCGACCAACAAGAGACCAGTGCTTTGTACCGGACGCTTTGTTACACCACCACCCCCAAAACAGCTTTGTTCCTATTGTTTGCCCCTGGCCTATAGTCCGTTTTTATACTTCAGTTTTGCCGGGTGTCATTCGCACTATCGTTACCGCCAGGTTGCTAGGTCGCTGGGTTCGTCGGACTGTGTGTTATTGAGGGCCGAGACGAAGGGGCCGTGGTGGGATTCCCGGCTCGTGCTTGACCATGAGTGACAACAGCCGTCCCCCTCATTTCCCTTTCCCTTCTCAGACTCCATCTTCGTCATCGGATTTGCTGGAAAGTGATTCCCAGTTTAGTCACCTGGGTACCTTGCTGAATCGCCAGCAACCTCATGGCCTTCCCGGCTCCTACGAAGTGGTGTATTCTGGCTTCTCTGAGAACCCATCGACTGGCTCGCAGCTCATCGAATGCGATCGCTTCGGAAGGGTGCGTATTCCTAGGTCGGCCACATCGACTGCCTGGACCAGTAGCGGACGTGTTAGTCGAGCCTGCGAGAACTGTCGCGATCAGAAGGCCAAATGTAGTGGTCACCGCCCGACGTGTCAACGGTGCCAGGAAGCGGGCATCCGCTGCTCCTACGGTGACCGGAAGCGAGAAAAGGTGGCCAAGTGAGCGTTCCCAAACCCTGATGCAAACATTTCTAGAGTGTCTCTAACTTCGTGTGCACTAGGCAGCTTAATGACCTGACAACCCAGGTTAAGGCATATGAGGATCTATTACGAGAGCTATCGCCCAGGCTGGACTCGGAAGCGGCGAGGCAAGTCGAGCAGATTTTAACTGAAGTAAGGCTCTTTCCATTACATTCAATGCATGGCTCCGTTTACCATCTTCATTGCCCACGTGGTCTTCTTCCCTGATCGGATATGGTTTTAGAGTTGTATTGACAGGATAAACACAGTCAAACATCGATGAGGACCTGCCTGCTGACCCTCAGGTAACAACGTCTGCATCAACAGCGCCAGTCACGAATGATGCGTCAGGGTCCAGTGTGACCCCGGCTCTCACGATAGGTGCCCTGGACTACATTAGTGAAGATTTCGACCGACAGGCCATGGGGTTCGTGGGTGAACACTCTGAAATCGCATGGCTGTACAGATTGAAGCGACTCATACGGCGATCGAGCCCTGCTACAGAGAACCATGGCGACTCTATTGCTTCCGCAAGCTTTTACTTGGACGATTCAGAGATCCCTGTCATGAAAGATGTGGACCCAATCAAACGGCCCCCTCTTGCAATTGCTAAGCAGCTCCTGGACACCTACTTCACAGTCGTGCATGCATCCTTCCCGATAGTTCGCAGATCGTTCATCATGAGACAAACTACACTCTACTACAATTCTCCTTCCGTTAGGCCTGGGGTTGGGCCTGGAAGGAAGTGGCTAGCCATGCTCAATCTGATCTTCGCGATTGCCGCCAAATACACCCACACTCAATCCAGTGACGCTGAAGAGTGGCCTGATGACAGTGCTGTTTACTTCGCACGAGCACAGAAACTAGGCGTGATGGGAACGGTCTTATTAGAACATCCTGATTCGCAGCAGGTGCAGGTGGAGGGATTAACATCCTTTTACCTTCTGTCCATTGGGCAAGTGAATCGGTATTAACCTCCCTTGGTTTCCCCTCTGGTGTCATTCATTTGTTTTCGATTGCTCGCTTTCTTGTTCATTCAACCCCTGCACATGATTGGCGTACAGTGGTAGTCTAATCGTGTGTGGCTCAGATCCTGGAAACTTTGTGGTTACGCCATCCGTTCGGCTTTAACCCTGGGATTCCACCTTCGAAACGAAAGCGACATCAGGAACGTCATGAAAGAAACGAAATACGCTGTCTGGTGGTCTCTTTATTTGCTCGATTGCTCGCTTTGTGTTATGACTGGTCGCCCGCCTAGTATCAACGACCGATTCTGCACAACACCACTGCCAGTGCCCTTCACAGAAGAAGAGTTCGACGATAAGGAACAGCTGATCCTCCTTCCCGAAGTTCGGAATGCTCTCGTGAAATCTCTATGCCCCGGAAACCCACAGATTGTCGATGATAAAGGCTCACCTGAAGCCTCCGGCGCCCAAGTGCCCGACCAGGGTAACAAGAGCGAACAGGATGTGGCTAATATCCTTGAGTCTCTAACCTCGATGCCCAATTCTGCCCTTTTCTTCCTCTATATCGTCGATTTAGCCGCCATTATGCATGAATCCGTTGAAGTTCTGTATGCTCCAGGGGCAGCTCGCAAGCCATTGCACGAGATCGAGGGAGCCATCTCTGCTTTGAACAGCAAGGTCGATGCTTGGCTTGCGAGACTCCCAGCGGCATTTCACTTGTCGCAGGGAACGAAGGCATTTCAGAGGGAGCGGACAAACTTGGCATTTCGCTTCTACAGTGCCAAGATTCTTATAACCCAGCCTTGCCTCAATCACCTTTCCCAAGCGACCGACGTCAATGAACAATCGGGAAGTTTCTGTGAGATGATGGCGATGATGTGTGTGGAGTCGGCAGACCAGATGCTCGATCTGTTGCCTGATGCACCCGATCTTGCTTGGGTCTACCGGGTCTCTCCTTGCTGGTATCTTTTGCATTACCTAATGCAGTCGACTACAATCCTGCTCTATGCGTTACTGCTTGTGGAGAAGCCAGGAAGCGTTGAATATCGGAAATTTCTTGAGCGATTAGAAAAGTCAGGCCGTTGGCTGACGGAGATGTCTCTGGAAGATCCGTCTGCTGAGCGGGCTTGGCTCGTGTGCGGAGAACTGATTTCCGAGAATGTCCCTGAACTCGAAACTGAGATTGGTGCTGATTCTAGATCGCAACTGACTGAGCGTCCTATGGTCGGCTTGCCTGCTGCAAAACTCCGTCCGTCTGACTGACTTTGCCGGTGGCCACTAGTGCTATCTTGGTTTCAGTGTGCCGAAAAGGACCAGAGAAAACCGATTGCTCCAAGGAGACTCTATTCCCCACATCCTCTATTGGTCCTGCGGCTTCGGCTCTGCAACGGGATCACTTTTCTTTTTCATAGTTGATTCAATTGCACCCTAACCCCTACATATACCCCCTCATAGAATTGGACAAGGTCTCATATGGTCAGTTGATCTGATTTTGAGCCTTTGAATGCGTGCCGGGAAGGAAATCGTGAGAGCAGATATACGATGCGCTTGCGGAGCCTACCGGTCTGTGCTTGTTGATGGTTCCTCTTTATCATCTGAGCAGAAAGCAAACACTCACTATAAAGCCCCTGACGTCTTATTCCAGAGTACAGTAATTAGACAGACATCAGATGATCAGTCACATCCAGATGCGGGAAGGTCCATCCCGGAATCCCTTTGACTAGATCCCAGCAGCGCGGATTGGGTTTCAGACGGTCCCAGCGATGTGGGTTGCTGGCCCATGCAAAGCAGAGTCTTGCTTCTTAGCTCTCATTCTTGGCCGACCATTGCCCCACGGTTCAATCACATCCCTTGGATTGAGTCCCGTCCTTGCTGGGTCATGTCTAACTAGCTCCATTCGGTAATGTGGCCCTTGAGTGGTGCTTGGTTGCTAATGAAATCAATCATTTAGCACCTTCATTGAGTCGTGCTCAATGTCGACCCCGTAAGTCTACGGATTTCTTTTCCCTTTGAGAGGCGGTAAGAAAAAAAGCGCAGTCACCAAGTTAAAACTCCGCGGAGATGTGCTGCCATGGCTTATGCACGGGGCCAGCGCCTGCATAGCTAATCCGATGCCTTATTGCTTGCCTTTCAGTCCAACGGTGGGCCCGATCTCACCCAGCTTGTACCATTTGATTTGCTGGCAGTCAAATCCGTGGCAGCGGAAAGCCCATTCTAGTGGAATAGTTAATTGAACACTAGATTGCTTTTGGGCTGATAGTCCGTCGCCATTGGGAGAACGCGCATCTTGCGCCGTGGCTGATCCACGGTTGTAGCCGACGTCGGCCCTGGACCGGAGCTCCTGTTTTGACGGATCCACGCTATCGAGTCGAGTCTGGTGCATAATAACTACGCATCGTCCCGCTTACCAAAATATTCAGTTGATCGGTACTTACGCGGAATTACTACGTATCAGGAATCCACGATCCTGAATGATGCGGGGCTCGAGGCACGGACTGATGAGTGAAGCTGGAGTCTCAAGAGGAATGCAGGGAGGGAAGCCTACAGAGGCATAACTTATCTGCCTTTCAGCAAGATACCCAACAAAAACCAATCAGAATCTTAGAGTCGTTGCCTTCGTCCCAGGCTCCCTGGTATGCCTTCATAGCAGATTGCACTGATGGGCAGATCAAGATGACACCGCACCTTGACGGCGAGCGCTACGCATGAGTAATGTACGTATCTGATTTGGTCTACGGAAAATTCCATTGTCGGCATTCTTCGAGCTGGGCCCAGGATTGTGTTTCCGGTAGCCCGATGATCCTCTTCTCTCAGGCTTCAGCCCTTGAGCGACAGATCTGGCTTTGACCCACACATGGCACTGTTAAACTACTGCCTCTGACTTTGCTAACTACAGAGGATCGTGGCAGAACAGCCAAATCAGTTCGATCGACTGGTATGTTTTCACAGTAGCTGTATCCCACTACTATAGGCATGCTTGCATCTGTTTCATGATGGAGGAAAGTCATCTCGTTCATTTACTGCAGATTCCCGCCTTGGGCCTTTCTTCATTTTGCCAGCAACCTAGTCTGAGACTTTCCCACTTAAAGACATCGAACCTTCGAATCTGAATCCGCTTTGGACGGACGAAACCCATCACCCCAATCGACTAAAACGGAAGGAGTCTATTTTATTGAAATGTGGAGGAGCGCGAAAAATTTGCAGATCGTCTAACCACCCCTCCCCTCCCCCTTTCGATCCTCCCCAGAATTGTCGCATTGGAGCAGCCATCTATTGGCGGTTGAGGGACTTAAGGCCATTCTGGCGAAAATCTTCAATCGGGCTGTAAGCGAGATCCTGGAGTGTGTAGATGCAAATTGTGATTTGCCACACTGGGTATGATCCCGGCTCCTGCCGCAATGGCGACCTTCCATCCAGAGTCCAGATCTCAGCCTCGCTCCCAGTCGGAGGTCTTGATTCCTCCGGAGAGATATTCCGGATCTGAAGGTTCACACTGTGTGGTTTGACAATGTGAGTTGGAAAATATTGGTGCTGCTTGATGGCCCACCCTTCCTCTCGGTAGCTTACCTGCATTGGGCAGGACTTGCGGTCCTGGACTGCATCATTCATTCTATCGTGCCATATTCTGATAAGCTGTGATGGGGCCCAACAGTCCAATCAGTGGCTTTCATCAGAAATAGGCGATCGCATCATCGCCGGTCTGTTCTGTTCAGCACATTGACTGAGCACCTGATGGAGATTTTGTCGAGTCGAACGAATAGCTGGAGTGTTGGGATAGCCAGTCTGGTGGCAATTTTAAAAAAAAAAAAAGAAAAGAAAAGAAAGAGAAAAGACCATCGACAAGTCAACGTACAGTACGGAGTAGCCTCTCACTTATCACATCATGATGAATCATAGTCTCCATAATCCCAGCGATCGACACTGGGCCGATGGCTATAGTTATTTCTGCCTGGGGCACCGGGGCAACAATCATGATTATGTAAAAGCTGATGTACTCATGAAATGGTCAGCCACCCCCCGGCCACATTGACCGCCTGCCGAAAGTGGCTGGACGGAGATGATAACTGCACTCACCACCTGCTCGGTCCCATCGAGTCCACTGAATTCGGTAACGTACTTCCATTGCAGTGACAGAATCCATCCAGCCCACCTGGACCCTGGGGCACCCAGTAAGGCTCATTGCCTCTACGCCTCATCGTTTCTGAATTTATCGATCTAAGATGATGCGATAATAACCGCCCAGATCATGTCTATACGAGGGCCCATGAAGCGCTCACATCTGAGACAAGTGAGCGCCGCCAGTATAGAGACCCTTTCTACTGCCCGGTCGTTGGAGGCCCCCCATGCTGTTCCCCCAGAGCAGCAGTCATCAATCCTAGATGAAAGGACGATCCGCTTAGTCTCTGCCAGTCTAGATCGTCGACAATGCTCTCTCTGGGTTCATGATGAGACCTTCTCCAAGGAAGAGATCCTGTTCAACCAGGCCGCCTTCAGCGACACCGGGGCGCAGATCGGCGATGTGATCGAGATCCTGCCCGTTCGGTTCAACGGCGATGCTACGCATACCTTCAAGGCGGATCTCGGGGCCAGGTCGTCACGGGACGTTCACGTTGAGCCCAACCCGACACTCCACCCGGACCCCATGTCCAAATTCAAGACCCCGTTACAGGGTCGATGTCTCTTCGTCGTCAGGCCCCTGCCGCAGGAAATCAAAGCACGGCATCCCAAGCTTGAACTCTCTGTAACTAGTGCCGTTGCCAACATCTTCGGCTTTAAGAACCGGACCACTGTTCATATCTCGATCGTGGAGCGCGCGCACTGTTCCGCCTCTCATGTAGACATCTCCTTCCGCGATCAGTACCTGGTCCGCTCGGACATGTGGCGGCTGGTCATGTCCGAGCTGGCGGATAAGATCGTCTACAAGGGCCAGAAGATCGTCTTCATGGGTAGCATCAAGGCGACCGTAAAGAATATCTTCATCCGCGGCAAGAAGGTCCTCTCGGGCTTCTTCTCCCCCCAGACCATCCCCGTCTTCCGCAGCGAGTCGGCCAAGTATGTCCTGTTCATCCAGATGTCGCGGGAGATGTGGGACTTTGATTCCGAGGGCACGGGCGATATTTTGTTCAGCAGGGTCATCAACGGCTTCCTTCCGGAGCTCTTCAAGCGTTGGGCCAATTCCGACGCAAGGCATCTGGTTACCATTGTGCTGTTCACCCGCGTGGAGTACGATGCGACGGCGATAGGCCCTGCGTCTAATCTCAACCTGGACAGCTGGAAGAGTGACTTCACGACCAATGCAGCTCCGACCCGAGATTTTTACCGCGTGGTCGTCAACGATATGGCTAGTGGTCATTGGACGGCGATCTTAGATGAGCTGAAGAAGGATTTTAGAACTTTCTTGAGGGATGTCTCTATCCTCAAGCCACCGGAAGAGATGCAGACGCCCACGGTTGATGGCATCAGGGTCGCCCCCAAAGCTCAGTCTGCAACCATCGCAGGACGGCCCAGCACTGCTCTGCGCGGCAATATCTTGGAAGCGATTCACCTTGCGTCCTCTCACCTGGCTTATGATCACATCGATCGTGACATGCTTCACACGGGAACGTCGATCATCGTGATCACCCCTGGAAGCGGTGTTTTTGAGGTCTCCTACGAGTCGCTGGCTTCGACGACGGAGGCTCTCACCAACCGCGGTATCGCCATTGACTTGGTCTGTCTGAGCCCCATGCCTCTTCACTCAGTGCCTTTGTTCAAATACCGCGAGCCGGTGAAGCGACCCCAGACGGCCACGTACGGAGGAGACATTCGGAATGGAGGCTATTCTCCAGAGGCTCGTCCATCCTTCGCAAGCTTCGCTAGTCGCACGTCACATCTCTCGCCCAAGTCGGTCATGCATGGCTCGTATCCTGGGATGAGTAGCCGGCAGCCATGGTCTTCCCATGCGAACAATTGGAACTACGGAATCCCTCACTGGCTCGATATCTCATACTGGAATCCTGACACTTACCGAGAGGCTCGACGGATTCTAAAGAAAGATCCGAATGCGCCAATCCCTTTCACTGTCACCAAACAATCGAAATTGTTCGTGCCCCGTGTGCGGATGTACGAGATTCAGATGATGGGTGTTATGGAGAGCGAGCAGTCAAACATTTCCATCCCTTACCTGCTCGAAGGACAGGGAGTCACCAGAGGAGCTAGTCCCGCGACCGGCCTGAGCCCTTCAAGCATAAGTCCATCGAAGACACCCTTGAAGCGTAACTCCCCATTCAGATACCAGCTTAGTGACAGTCTGCGGCCGGAGCCTTTTCTCCAGAACATGTCTCATTCCAAGGATGCCATTCTTGCAAAGACGAAGAAGTCTTCGAACTCGGTCATTGCTTGGATGGACAATTATGACGACGGTGTGTTCCATGCTTTGCCAAAGCGTTCTCAGCCTCGCAGGTCTGCGAAGAAAAAGCGAACCAGTGAACCCGAAGTGCAAGTCTCCAATGCTCACGAACGGCTTTCCGCTCGATCCGTGACTCGATTGCGCGAGAACGAGAGCAATGCCAACGAACGCCCACATTCCGTCAGTTCGGCTCCTCGGAAAATTGAGCCGTCACGCACCGTGCAGAAGAGTCTGGTTTCGACCAAGGCTGCTTCGCCCAACAAGCCGGCTCTCAAGCCAACTTCTGCTACGAGAGTGCCCCGGATATCGCGGACGATCAGTTTCGCCTTGCGGGGGCTCACGTCCATCGCACCGAGGGCCCAGGCAAGTACGGAAATCCATGTGGAACATGCCAGAGGTCAGCCGACGCAGAATGCAAAAAAGGTCTCCGGAATGCTTGCAGATTCGAGGAGCGTTGAATCCTTGAGCACGTCCGATTCAGCGTCCACGAGAACCGTGATCGATTTGTCCACAACGTCTAGCACACCGAACACACCTCAAAAGTCCTCGCAAGGCTCCACAGCTACACCAACGAAGCCAATCTCGATCAAGGTTCCGCAGAAGCAGCCCTCTGAAGATGCCGAGCAACCGGATCGCTCCGTGGTTCCCGAGTCTTACTCGACCACGACCACAGAGATTCCGATGATCGATGACTCGCGCCACGAGAGTCGGGTTCGGAGATCCAATCCTCGGGTCACGGTGACTGGGAATGGAGGCTTGCGCGATATTTCTTCGAAAAGCCCTCACAACACGGCATTGGCCCCTTGGGTCCGTTCTATCAATCCGTGCAACACCTCGAAGGAGGTTATGCGGGAGACCAGCTGGTTTGGGCGCTGGCAGCATGCCTACCCCAGACCTCCCCATGTGGCCGTCGTCAAATGGAAAAGTTTGAAGTCCCCTGCCATTCTACCTCTAACTACGGAAGAATTCCCCACCGCGAAGGAGCTGGCCTCGGACTACTTCCAGACCCCGTATCGTGTCTTCCCGAATGAAGATGCGGAAGGTATCGAGCCTCCCAAAACACGAGGTGTGCTCCTTCGCGAGATGATCTCCTTGCGTCTCTCTCATGGCTTTCAGATCGTGGTTGGCAAAGCTGTTGTAGAAGCCTCTGGGCAGTATGCTCTGGAATCACCCAATGTATTTGACACGCGTGGGCTGGAAAGAGATGGTGCTACTGTGTTTCTATCTAAGGGCAACACCATTCATCGATTGATCTGTGTGGAAGGCGCGGAAATTGAAGTGACGCGCTATACCCATCGCAACTCCTCCATTCTTGCCTCGGAACAGTTTGATGACTTCAGCATGTACTCGCCGGCGATGCGGACGATCTTGAGCCCGCAGTACGAGGTGAAGAACATCCGACTCGATTCGAAGCTCGAGGAATACAACTGGAACTACGCCGACAACTACGTGGCTGGGCATCGAGACTATCTCTTTAACCCATCCCAGCAGCTCCACTTCTGGCGCGTGCGCTATGTCTTGATTCCAATGCATTTGCACGTGAATTCCCGCCGTCACATTCAGACTTTCAACGAAGACAACGAAGAGGAGATTCACCTTCTTGGTATCAACCAATTGACACGGATCTGGCAGCGCCACAAGTACATCCCACCGGAGGAGAAGCTTTTCAATGCTTCGAATGGCAAAAAGGCCGAGAATCCGCTCAACATTATCTACAACACGCAGAATTCGTCGGAGGTTGTCGCCGCGGAGTTGGACCGGATGCAACTGACCGACCCCAGCTTGGACAGTGCGCCTGCCCAGCTGTTGCCTGAGTCTGAGCAGTTTGAGCGCTCCAGCATCACCTTGTCCACGTTGGCACAGGCCATTCAGGGCGAGAAAGGTATACGGATGGAGGATCGACGGTGGCATTGGCGCCTGCACTACAGCTGCTTTATCGGATTCGAACTCACCACCTGGCTGATTCAGACTTTCCGCGATATCGACACCCGAGAGGAAGCGGTGGACTTCGGCAACGAACTGCTGAAGCACGGACTCTTCCATCACGTCGAACGGAGACACAATTTCCGCGACGGGAACTATTTCTATCAGCTCTCGAGCGAATATCGGCCGCATCGTCCGGAGTCGCGAGGCGGCTGGTTCCCTCAGATGCGGCCGGATAAGGCGACCCCCTCGACTCCTGCGGCCGATCACTCGAGCAATCATTCCCGCGCGGAGTCGCGATCCGAGTCTCGATCCGAGTCCCGGTCCGAGAGTGTGGATGACTCCATGCCTCAGGTGCCCAACACGCCGTCCAGAGCCAAGAATAAAGCTACGATCATGCTATCGAAGAAGATGCAGTACGACGTGGACCCGCGTCGACGATCGAACCGCCCTGAGGTCATCGATCTTCACTACGACCGTCTGCATAACCCGGACAACTGCTTCCACATCGAACTCAGCTGGATGGGCACGACGGCCAAACTGATCGAGGACACGGTGCTGTCGTGGGCGGCGACCGCGGAGAAGTTCGGCCTGAAGCTCGTGCAGGTGCCCATTGCTGAGGCGTCTGCGATCGACCAGACGCAGCCCTTCCGCAAGCCCTTCCGCGTGCAACTCAAGGTGCCGCCCCCGCGCGGGCCGGTCCCCGTGCCCTACAACCCCAACCCCTCGGCGCCCGTCTCGGCTCAGAACCTCAATCCGGATCCCCTCTACTTCCAGAAGGCCCTGCTGCGCAAGTTCGACTTTGTCCTCGACTTCGAGGCCCGGTCGGCGTTCCCCGCCGACGTCGAGGTCTCCTACTCCTGGGGCATCCCGGACTACCGCTACCCGCAGTTCATTCACCGCTCGGGCAGTTTGCTGGCCCAGATCACCGACGAGGGCGAATTCTTGTTCCTGGCCAACCGGCTGGTGAGCACGCGCAGCACCGCGAGCCGCGACATGCCGCGCCTGGAGCGCATGGAGCGCGCGGAGCAGTACCGGGCACGCGCCGGCACGTACGACCCGGTTGCTGCGGACCGCGTCTCCTCGACCTCCTCCCCGCGTCTCTCGCCGATGGTCCGCCCAATTTATGATCTCACCGGTGGTAGTGGCAGCATCAATACCGCCGGCGGCAGCAGCAACACCACCAGTAATTCCAGCGCTGTGAATAATCCCAAAGACAGTGCCAACCTCCCCCTCGTCGCTCCGCCCGGCCAACACCCCAGCATCGACTCCTCGAACCTCTACCGCGCGCCCGAGCACATCCTGAACGGAATCGTGGACTTCTGCAATGATCCCATCCGTCTGCAGCAGTTCTATAAGGAGTCGCACGCGCGCCCGGTCTCGACGCGCGTCACGCCCTCGAACCCGCCGACCAAGATGACGGATATCCCTTCGCTGGAGCTGCCGGATAGTGTCGTGGGCCATCCGCAGCATACGCTGCTGCCGGCGTTGCCGCAGCGGATCCATTCCAGTGCGGTGCTGATGAATCCGTCGACGGAGGCGCGGGCGCGCTCGCGGGACGAGGGGAGTAATCTTGTGCGGGGGAGTCCGCGGAGTGGGAGTTTGAGGCCGTTGATGTGATCCGATTCGAGGAAGAAGTCAAGAGGTTTGAGGCAGGGTTGCTTATGAAGACCGCGGGGTGATTGTCGATGAGTCAGTTGTGTATGTGTATGTGTAGTGGTCGTGGACGGATACCCCTTTAGCCATGTAATAAATCCTAATGAACAATCGTATGAGTATCTATCTATCTTACTTCGCCTCTCAGGGCCTCGCAACACCCACTCGCAGTTGTGTATAGCGGTCTCAAACTGCTGCATCCCTTGTCCACCACTGCACCATGAAACAGCCGGACAACCACAATCCAAACACAAACAATCTACCACAACCTACTTGAGTCAAACCCACACACATAGCGCCCCTCACTGAATAACCGTAACCTTGACCCCCTCGACATCAGCCTTCACCACACCACCCTCCTCCTTCCTCACCCTCACAACCTTCCGCACCTCATGCGCCCTCACCGGATCAACAACCTCCACCTCGACCACCCCTTGAAGATCGCCATTAACCAACACCTCCAACCCACTCAACGGGTCATCCTCCGGCTTCGTCAGCTGGAAGTTCACCGGCACGACCGCCCCGGGCCTAATCAACAACGGCAGGGTCTCGAACCCATGGGTCTCGGTATACCACCTGCCGCCGAGATACTTTCTGCCGTGATCAAACCAACTCACCCACTCCCCTTGACCCTCTGGAACATAAAACTCCACGACCCCATCCTTACTAAACACCGGCGCGACCAGCAGATCCCCGCCAAGCATATACACCGTATCCACGGTCCAGGCGTTCCGATCGTGCGGGAACTCCAGCAGGAGGGGCCGCATGACGGGGGTGCCGCGGCGCGCGCCCTCCAGCGCACTCCGCAGCAGATACGGGGTGAGGGCGATCTTCCGCTTGACGCAGTCGCGCAGCACGACGGAGCAATCCTCGCCGTAGATCCACGGCACGCGGAACGAGTGGCTCCCGTGCAGCCGGGAGTGCGTGGACAGCAGGCCGAACTGCACCCAGCGCTTGTACACGTCCGGCGGCGGGGTGCCCTCGAAGCCGCCGATGTCGGAGGCCCAGAAGATGAAGCCACTGAGACTCAAGGAGAGGCAGCCGCGCAGCGACTCGGCCATCGCTTCGTAGGTGCTTTCGCAGTCGCCGCCCCAGTGGATCGGGAACTTCTGGCCGCCCGCCGCGGTGGAGCGGGCGAAGAGGACGGCGCCGGACTTGTTGGGGCTGTGGGCGTTGTCCGGGTGGTGGTGGAGGAGGGTCGTGTAGCAGAGCTCGTTGAAGGCCAGGGTGTAGTAGTTGTGCATGCGGGTGGGGTCGACGCTGCCGTCGAAGTAGGTCACGTTGCGGTAGGGGATGCGTTCGCCGAAGTCCGTCTTGAAGCTGTCCACCCCCAGCTCGAGGAGGCGGCGGAGGTGCGTCTGGAACCAGGTCCGCGCGGAAGGGTTCGTGAAGTCCACGATCGCCATGCCCGCTTGCCAGTAGTCCCATTGCCAGACTGTGCCGTCGGTTCGCTGGGGGGTGTTTTAGTGAGGGGGTAAACGGGGGGGGAGGTAGCCAGCGGGCGGCTTACCTTGATGAAGTATCCTTTCTCTTTACCCTCCTTGAACAGTGGCGACGCCTGTCCCACGTACGGGTTGAGCCAGACACTAATCCGCAGTCCGCGCTCCTTCAGCCGCTTGATATACCCCGCGGCGTCCGGGAACATGGCCGAGTCGAACTCGAAGTCGCACCACTGGTAGGACTTCATCCAGAAGCAGTCGAAGTGGAAGACACCCAGCGGGATCTCGCGGTCCCGGAACCCATCCAGGAAGCCGGTGACGGTCTGTTCGTCGTAGTTGGTCGTGAAGCCTGCACATGGGGCACACGGCACACAGTAACATCAGCATTGGCATCTCACAAAGCCAGTCACCAACAAAACTACACCAGGGCGGGGATCAAGAGGGGAACATACTCGTCGTCAACCAAAGATTATAACTCCAAGCGGGCACCAAGCTCGGCCTCCCCGTCAAGGCCGTATACCTCTCCAAGATCGCCTTGGGCGAGTCCCCATAGATCACAAAGTACTCCAACTCTTCGCCGGGCACCGAGATGTTCACGCGGGTGGTGCGCTCCGACTGCAGCTCCAAACTCACCTTCCCCGGATGATTGACGAACACCCCGTACCCGGCACTGCTGAGGTAGAACGGGATGTTCTTGTACGCCAGCTCGGAGGAGGTGCCGCCGTCCTCGTTCCAGATGTCGACCGTCTGCCCGTTCTTCACGAACGGGCCGAACCGCTCGCCCAGCCCGTACAGCTTCTCGCCCACGCCCAGGTCCAGCGCCGCCAGCATGTACCCCTGGCGCTCGAAGAAGATGCCGTCGTCCCACCGGGACTTCTCGGTGGTCTGGTCGCCGATGTACCCGATGGAGCGCCAGGAGTGGCCCGTCAGCTTTTTGTTGCTGTTGTTGCTGCAGGCCGAAAAGACGAAGTCGAGTTCGTTGGGCGCCGTCGTCACGGCCAGGTCGAGCCCGCCGCTGCGGTAGTGGAGCGCTTGGTGCTCCTCGTGCGAGATCTGGGCGTGGCCGGTGGATGTGGTGAGCTCGTAGTGCGGGCCTTTGCCGATGCCGCCGGCCCTGTGCATCGTTCAGTATGAATTCGGAACGAAAACACTTGCTGCACGGTCGCCCAGTGCTTTGGGACGGAGATTTGAAGAGAGGGAGGAACAGGGTAACCGACCAATGGACAAGCTTCACGCCGATAATCCCTTCCAATGGCGACGTGACCTGCGCTGAGACCGTAGCTAGACGTATCACGTCAGTCCAAGCTCTCTTCCACTTTGCAGCTGGATACAGACGACATGGAGCTCACCGGAGTTTAAAGTGTCACCACGGTGCCGCTGGAACTTGTTCAGGAGCAGATCCACCGTCTCGTTCTCGATGCTCAGTCGCTCGACGTTGTTCATCCAGTCGATCCGGATCCCCTCCTGTCATTCCCAGCAAAACCCCGCGGATTAGTTCCTGATCGGCTCGGTCTTGGACAGAGAACACTCACCCGGATGCGCCACATTCCCTCGGTGAACTTCATGGTGATAGATGCGGTGTGTCAATTGATAACGTCTCGAGGGTTTGAAGTTGGGGAGAGCAATGCTAGACCCTGAGGAGAGACCTCGGTCCCTGGGTGGTGCAGTGCGTCTTAAGTATGAACTGGATGGAGCATTGCCAACATCCCACCCCACCCCCGCAGTACGAGCACTGACAGACAGACAGACAGACAGACAGACCGACCAGGATTGCGCCGGATGAATCGATGCCATTGCATCTCACGGGCCGGAAGACCGAGAGAACCGAGAGAGGGGGTGATTGGAAGAGGGGTAAAACCCGCGCAGTCAAATTGGCTAAATGCTAACCAGACCCTGGATTTATCCTTAGTATTGGATTTGTCCACCAATCGCTTAGCCCGCCAGAAGGAAAAGGTCGCCGATGGGCTGATCCATTTTAATCAATTTCTAAATTACAGGCGCACAACACTTCACGAGCATCTTTCATTCACGGCCGTCATATCATGTAAGTATGTATGTATGATGTTGTACTGTATGTATGTATGTATGTATGCTCAACGCTGGGTCGAGTGCAGAAAATACTCAACATGGGTATCATGTTAACACAAAAGCATCAGAACAGAGAATCCACTCAGAAAATAATCCCTACCACGCCTCCTCAACATCGAGAAGCCACTTGCGAACTCCCTCGCGCAGCGTATTATCCGCCCCGGCCAACGTACGCTTGCGCTCGCGATCTGCTAGGCCGAGCTCCCCGTCAACATCCTCGCGGCAATGCTCCGCCGTCACACTGCGCACCACCTCTTCCAGCGCCCCGAGGACCAGCTTGCGACACTCAGTCCGAGGCACCTCGACAGGTCGGATTTCTTCCCGTGTGGGCGCGGGGGCATCCGATGCCTGCTTATCCTCTCCGCGACGACCACGGGATGGCGACGGCGCGCGAGAGTGCACCATGGACGACGGTCCACTCTGTGCAAGCACCCGTTCAAGAGCATCGACAAGAGTGCCATCCAGATCCATCACGGGCTCTTCCACGAACCGTTCTTCAACCTCGGTAGGATAGAAATCGTCCATGGAGGAATTGTTAGATGTCTTGCTCGACCCAGTGGCGTGCGAGAAGAAGCTGGTGAGCTGCGAGGCCGAGACAGACCCGTTGGACACGTACCGCGGAGTGCCGGGCTGCGAAGGGAAAGACGGCGTATACGCCTTGCGCGACGACCCATGTCCCACAAGTTTACGTCTCAGTCGCAGTCGCTTCACGGTGAAGTTCCGGACATCCGCAATCACGGTGGTCGCAACATCCACCCATCGTTCGGAACCATCGGCGTTGAGACACAGAGCTTGGCTTGGTGTAGGCTCGGCTTGCATGGCGCGCTTGATATCGGCTTCCAGCGAAGCGTATGGTCTCACGGCCTGCAGGAGAAAATCGTCATGGAAAGTTCGCAGCCAGCCAGCGACGTTGGTGTTGGGTCCATCATTGTCCTTGAGACTGCCGTGGAACCCGGAGACACTGCTCTGTGTAGATGCCATTGCATCCATACTAGTAACCGAGGTGCGGGTCTTCTTGGGAGAAGCCAGCGTGGAGTCCCCAGACGACGAAAGCGACAGGAACCCTGGGAGCGGCAGGTCCACATCCACCACGCCGTCATCTCCACGAACGGCCATCCTCAAGGATGACTCCCTGGTCTGGTCCGTGGTCGACGACAAATCCGGTGCGTCCTCCTCGAATGAGATATGACTGTTTGTCGCCGGAGGGATAGAGATATTGCCGCTCGTAGTAGCTTTGGGTGCCGCCGGCATGGGTTCCTCTGATGCTTCTTTGACCATCTGGGCAAGTGTCGGAGGGTTCCTTCTGGGTGGGTTCGTATAAGCAGATACCGATCGCTTGCGTGCTTCAGATGGCGCAGGGGCGTCACCAGCGTCTGATGACTCCTGACGAGAGCTCCATAAGCCAGAGAACAATGTGCCCCAGCGGCCACTCGCGGGAGGCATCTGGCCATTGGCACAGGTTGCCGAGGTTTCGGACCGCCGCAAATTCTTTAGAAGAGTTTCCGACGCCAGGCTGTCACGTCCTTCAGCCACACTTGGATCCGATCCCATCCGCTCAGACCGGCTCTGCGAGGCGAAGTGCGGGACGGGGACGGTACTACTCGGAGTAGTGGTCGAAGTGGTGGCTGCACTGGTATTCCTCGGACGCATGTCTCTAGTATGGATAGGAACCCCTAAGGCTCGGATCGAGCGGGCATCTGAGCCCCTGCGCTTCGCACCAAAATCAGGCGGAATCATGGGCTCGGGTTCTTCCGCCGAACGATGGGCCGTCTCATTCGATGAAGCACTCACAGAACGCTGGTGCTGCTCTCTCTCATTGAGGTTGAGGCGCTGCGCACGAGACCGTCGTTCCATCACCCTCCGCAATGCCTCCTGTCGTAGGATAGGAACATTAGGCGGGCTCTGGGAGACAGCACGAGTCGACGCCGCAGTGCCAGGGCGAATCGGAGACGGCAGGGGCTCGAAGCGCTGTTTGGGCGGCAAAAACGCCGCCAGCAAGAAAATCAGTCTTCTGGCAGTCATCTTATCCGGTGAAATGATCACGGTGCGATTCGCCAGCATCGGGTCGGCGTCTTGCTGAGCCTTCTGTTGTAGGTAGTGCCGCCGACGGTACCACTCCGGGCCCACAGCATTGAGCCACTCCGTATGGTTTCCCAAGAAGGCAGTAACCAAGACCAGGAAAAAGAAACTGTGGTCTTTGTCTCCGAGGCTACGGATTATCGACCGCCCTTCTTCACGCCAGACGCCCCAGCGGCTCTGGCCTGTGACAACGTACGGCATCTGCAGAGCCGTGCTAATGCGACGAGTGCTGCGGATGGCTTCGTCGCGGAGTTTGGAATTGATGGACAAAACATTGACCGGCAGATGAACAAAAGTCTGATTCGTCCTTTGCATGTTTGGAGGTTTGGCGGGCTTCGGATGCGGCCCTGCCGAGGCGTCTACTTTCTTGAGTAAGAACAGGATCTCGTTCCGAGACAGCCTCTCCAAATGGGACAACGTCCGGTTGATGATGTCCCAATGATCAACCAGCAGATCAATACGCTCATCCAAACTCGCAGGAGGGGATGCATGGGACAGACTGTCCTCGAAGAAGCCTCCACGCCAGCGGTGGTCCGAGTCCAATGAGCACGAAAGCCCTGGCTTGGGAGAGTCTGGACCTTGCGCAAACCGAGAAACCGGCCGCCCACCATTTCGGGATAGGAGCGGGATCTGGATTGTGATAGCGACCGCATACATGGGAGTTTTCTTCTCCTTGATCTTCTTGCGCTTCGAGACATCCGGGAAGGGAAACCCTGGGCTCGGGAGAGCGTCGTGGGAGACTGAAGATGACAAGTCAGGCCTGTCCGGAGAGGAGTCATCATCTCCGCCTTCGGGCAGATGCACACTGAACATCCTTGTCAACAGGATAGTGACCTTGGCAGGCGGTTTAGACTCATTACCACGATCGGAACCGCCAAACGTCGTGGAACTTCCTGTAGTATATGCTCGTGATAGAGAGCTACGTGCCGCCGGCGAGGCTGGCGAGGTTTGACTCGGTTCATCATCGGCAGAAATGATATGCATCTTGGTGGAGGAACCCTTGTAGCTGAAGGCACTGCTCCCGAAGATGCAGTTCAGCAACCCGGAATCATTCGCATCCGTCGTGCCCCGGGAATGGCCACTTTCGGTGAAGTTCCCACCTGGCGCCAGCGTAGAGCTACGAACCCGTGCCCTCATGAACGCGCCAGAGAACATGGGCGGGGATCGCCGTGTCTCTGCGGCCGCAGACAGCGGGCTTGATTCCACGACCGATGACTGAGGCAGATAACCCCGCCGCGGGCCGCGAGTCAACGTGGAGAGCGTGCGGGCATGGCGGGTACCAGTATTTTCAAACACCTGTGGCTCCAAGCCCAGACCATGTGAGCGTTGTCCCTGCGGCGTGGCCCGGGTATCCAGCAACACGCAGGCGTCCCGGTCCCCCAGCGCGTTCTGGGCGATTATCACACGGAAATCCTTCAGGTGGTCCAATTCGACGCCGCCACCACGATCATCATATCCACCGGCCGTCGAGGTATTCGGGGAATTGAAAGCGGTATGAAGGGGGTACGCGTGCGAGTTGGAGCGGCGAAGAAGGCTAACGTCAGGATAAAGCAAGCCCGATGTATGTTCCTCCTCTGTGACCGATTCCAGTGGCTGGGGGTTCTTCGCGGAGTATGCCGTCGGATTGAGAGTGGCCGCTGCAGTATTCAATAGTCGACCGAGCATGATGATACAAGTGGCTCGGAACGGAACTGCAGGGTAGGGAAAAGAGCGGGAAAGAGATCGCAAGATCGATTACGCAGAAGCGTTCAATTAAAATGCGCCGATAAAACAAGCAGGAAACCAACAGTCAGACCGATCAACTAGACTGAGCTGCAGTTCCCCATGGTTCAATTTCGCGAGGGAACGACCATGATCAGGCCGTAAATGAGATGATGTGTGTGTTTCTGAAGGAGGTTGAGAGAAACACACGTCGGTTGTATCGGTCGTCTTGAGGAGGGTAGTGGGGGGGGAAGTGGTTTAAGGTGGGATCCGTTCTCAGCAATTGAGAGTCAGTGGGTGGCGGTGAAGACCGGAACAGGACAAATCCCGATCAAAGCGACCAGAAAGAGGAATTGGAATGGAATTGAGGGATGAGAGTAGAGGGGGGGAGAGAAAGGAATAAGAAGGGAGGAGGGAAAGTAGAAGGGAATGGACCGAAGAAGGGAGAAAGAGGGGAGGTAAGAAGAGGTAAAGTAGGTAGAAAGTAGTGGTGGTGGTGGTAGTGGAGGTGGAGGGTGGAGGAAGAAGTGCCGTGGAAGGGAGGAACAGTAAGTGGTGCGTGAGGTGGTCTTCACTATCTACTATAAGTTAGTGCTATGAGTACTATCAGTACTACCTACTAGACCACTACCGGTACTACTCCGGGCGTCGAGTTACTGAGGACTATTAGTTAAGTTAGCCGTAGTTAATCTACTTTAGGCACTACTTTCCACTCTCAGTCCCGTCCCGATGCCGCCCGCGGGAGAGAAAGAAGAAGGAGGATTCATTCGAAGTGCATGGGTAGAAACGAAAAGGGCGGTGAAGAAACCATCACCACCACAACCACAACAATAACACGGGGCGAACAAGACGGGGTAAAAAAAGAAGATTGAACACATGATCTCAGCCTCATCGCAGATCGGTCTATCGGGACTGCAATCTTCTACTCCTTTTCTCTCCCTGTCAATCCTCTCTGGCTGCCCTGCAGACGGCCGAAAAAGGTCACACAAACCACCTCATCGTACATCGGCCAATCTTACCTATGAGTACGGAGTACCAGTCATCTCCTGGTCTCCTTGGGCTCCGACATGGCGGTCCAACACCTCTGATTCCTCCATTCCCTCCGTGATGACGGCAACTTACAGCACTTGCTTGCAGCCAGCAACATCGCCCGCGCCTGCTTATCACCACCAGGGCAATCTTCCTGACCAACAGTCATAGAAAGGATTTCAAACAGGCAATGTAGACAGAGTTACACCAACATAATTGGTCCTCGAATTATCGTGACTGTCAGAAAATGAAAATAATAAGAAGAAAAATAATAATCAACATGCTAAACCATCCATGGTATATTTTGACCCCTCAATCCATCCAACGATGACCGGAGAAAAAGCAACAGAGTCCGGAGTACGAATACTTTTCAACAAGCAAATCAGCGCTGCGTCTTACGCTTCACCTTGTCCACCAGCTTCTTCAAATCATCCGACCCCGCGTCTTTCGAAGCCTGTTTCTTCTGCTTCTTTGTCCGATCCTGGTTGCTGGGCGCCTCCTCCGCGTGGTCGTCCCGATCGCGGCGACGCTTGCGACCCTCCTCCAGCAGCGCCTTCATACCGGAAGTGGGCTTGAACTTGGGGTTGGTGGGATCGATGGCAAACTCGTGGCTCTCAAAGAGTCGGGAGAAACGAGGATCATTGACCTCCATCTTGAAGTCATCCACCACGGGCTCCACCTGCTTAGCCTTGCTCTTGCCCTTCTTGCCCTTCTTACGAGCTTGCTTCTCGGCCTTCTCAATCTCCGTCATATCAAAGTGCTTGATACCCTTGTTGTTGTTGTCATCAACCATGAGCAGCTCCAGCTCAGCGCGCTTAGCCGCGGCGGCGGCCTCCGCGGCCGCACGCTCTTCCCGCTTCTTGCGCTTCTCCTCCTTGCGACGAGCAGCGGCGGTAGCCTTTCCATCAGGGTCTTCGAAGAAGGGGTCATCGAAGCCCAGGTCTTCCTGCGGGGGCTGTTCCTCGGCGGTCGGCTTGGCATCATCGTCCTGCTCCGCATCACTCGCGTCGCCATCGCCGCCCTGCTTGGTAGCCTTGAGCTTCTCCTTTCTGCGCTTCTTTCTCTCGCGTTCCTTGCGAATGTACCGCTCGATCGTAGTCTCCTCAATCTGAGGTTCGTTCTCAAAGATGCTGTCGCGGGTGGGCTCGCCCGCAAGTCCGGAGGTGAAAGTCACTTCCATCTCCCCCACGGGTCCGTCGGACTTGGAGGATTTAGTAGGCTCGGCACTCAGCCCTAACAGCGCGCGCATGCGCTGTCTCTCTTCCTCCTTCTTGGAGATGTTTGTGCTCGACCCCTCGCCCTGCGTAGCATCCATGACTTCCACTCCGCCGTCCTCCTCCTCATCATCCGAGCTGTCGCTCGCGAGATAGGCCTTCAGATCGTTCTCATCGATATCCTTCCGGCTGCCACGGAAGGCGCGGGCCTGGGCCTCCTTGCGCGACTTGTCCTCCATATCCCAGGTCAACTTGACCTTGCTGTGCTGCAGGGCGTCGGTGACGAACTCGTTGGGCTGGTAACCGTCGGGGATGCGCTTGCACTCGTCGCGGGGTCTGTCGTCGTCGAAGTCGGTCTCGTCCGGCACGAAGCGGAGGTCGAAGAAGTTGGCACTAGACAGATACTCGGCGCCATCGACGAGGTCGTAGACATGCTTGGCGACCTCCCTGGAGGAGAAGGTCAAGATAGCGTAGAAGTAGCGTAGACGCTCGAGCTGGTACTTGCGGAGCTTGGTAGAGTTGAACTCCTCGCCCTTATCCTCCTTGAGCATGGACTTCTTGATCTTCTCCTCCTCCTCATCCGAATCAAACTCCTCCTCCTCCTCCTCCTCCTCGTCATCATCGAACCCCTCAAAATCTTCGTCATCATCATCACCATCCCCCCCCTTCTTCGAAGAACTCGCAAAGATCTCCTTGGGGGGCCCCTCCATCTCCTCGCGCTCCATGCGCTCCTTGCCAAACTCACTCGGATAAACCGAGACCTTCAACACGCGACCACCAGCAGGCACGAAGCTCGAAAACACAGCCATCAGATCCTCGGCGCGGATATTATCCCAGTCCAGATTAACCACCGCAATGCGATCCGTGACCTCCCCAGTGGGCACATCGCGCTGCTGCTTATCCGGGAACTCCAACTCCTCACCCCCGAGCCTCTCATCGTCCTCACCCTCACCCTCATCTTCAATGTCCTCCTCCTCATCCGAGCTCTCCTCCTCCGAAGACGAAGACTCGAACCCCCCATCGCGAGCGGGATCATACTTCTCCGCCCGCCGCAGCTCCGCCAAAACCTCCTCATCATCCGCCACACTGCCCTCCACCTCTTCCCCTTCACTGGCGGCATCATCATCACCCTCCTCCTCCAACCGATAAAATCGCTCCAGTTGCTTCTTCGTATCATCCCGGGCCAGCTTCCGCCCGTACCGATCCACCGCCGCGTTGCGCGAGAAGTCCTTGTCGCGCAGCATGTGCGCGAACCGCTTGTCGAGCTTCACGTGCGTGTGCCGTTTGCTGGGGAGGCGGTACCGCGGGTCGTTCTGGATGTTGGCGAAGCGGGGGTCGGCTGGACATCAAACACACACACGTACAAGTTAGCATCGAAGCACATAGCATTCAGCATGATTGCCGTGAAAGCTCAGCTGGAAAGTAATTCCACACAGCCGCATCAAGAACGGAAACGAAACGAAACGAAACGAAACGAGACGCAAAGAGGTGAAGGGCAAAGCATACTGATAACCGGGGCATCTCCGCCAGCGCCGCCGCCGGAGGAGGGCTTTTTGCTTTTCTTCTTGTCGGGCATTGTGCGTATCTTGGGGGCGGTCAGAATTTGTAGTTGAAGGGATAGGCGAGGAAGTAAAAAGAAGGATCAAGGAAAGGATTCAGTGTTGGGGGTAGATGGTTTGGGGTGGTTTGGATTTCACCGAAGCGTGGGAATGCAAGAAAGTGATGGCAGGATAATTTTTTGGGCGGAGCGGGAAACTCTCAGCTCTCTTTGGCCAAAGAATAGAATCTTCGGTCGCTGCGCCGGTCGCCGCACCGCCGACCGCCGCCGCCCGCTGCCCTTCGGATTGGGTGGTCCGTGCGCTGGGCTTTTTCTGCGAACTGTACTGTACTTTTGGATGATGATGAGGTATAGAGCTTTTCATGCGGGTTGATGGTGGATATTGATTTGGAGTCTTACTGTGTAGGGGCAGGTTATTTCAGACAGAGCTGTCAAAGGAGTTCTGTTCATTTTGGTGAACTGCCAGTCCTCTAATTTTAAACCCTGTATTCTCGCCAAGCTGGACCGGTATCGAATTATATAGTTTCACCATTTTAAGATTGACTCTCATTTTATGCTAGTACTTGCAACTTGCAAGAATGAAAAACATCATCATCAGATCATAACACAGATCCCCGGTATTATATTAAGCAACATAGGCAGGCGCCGGGTGCTCCAGTGTATCATAGCAAGGCGCAGGCCCCAAAGCGTTCAGGTCATGACAGTCATTCCAAGCAGGCACAAGGTCCGTATGTGCACATGTCGTCCCATCCCCATCCCCATCCCCATCCCCATCCCCATCCCCCGTCGACCCCAGCAGCTTCGGATGCCGGATATGGTCCCCGTACAGCGGCGGCGGCTCTCGAATGTCATGGATCGTCTTGTTGCAGATGGATCCATCCTGTCCGATCACCGAGGGGGTCATGTAGATGCAGAACGGGATAGATTTGGCCGTCTGCGCCAGTCTGAGCGTCAGTCTTTCGTCCGATCTTGCCATACACCCGGCAAACATACCTCAGTAACGACCTTCCCGGTGGCATCCTGGAACTCGGCGCTAACCAACAAACGATGGCTGATCTTGATGCGCTTCGTCGCGGTCGTCTGCGAGCAGGAATCGAAGCTCGGGGGCAGGCAAGCCAGCTTGCTGATGCACCATTCCGTCCCCGCGGCAGAGTCGCCTTGGGAGTCATCGGCGTGCCCCGCCGCGACTTCGAACCGCTCCGTGAAGATGGTGTGGTTCTTCAGGGATGTGATCGAGTAGATGTTGTCGCGCGCCGACTGCGCCGCCGTGGCGTCCAGGCGGATGAAGTGCTTTTCGGCGACCTTGACGGTGACGGCGAGAAGTTTGACATCCTTGGACAAGGCCGTGAATTGGCAGTCGACGGGGAACCGGGAGCCGAAGGGGATGTAATGGCTGGGCATCGAGACCGAGTACTGCAGTTTCTGGTCGAAGTTTCCTCCTACTGTCTTCACACGGTGTCAGCCTGAGTGCTTCACATCACAGCGACGAGCTGCAGTCACATACCGGCGAAAAGTCCGACGTGAGGTAGTTCGCCTCCAGGTCTGAATCGTGGTAGATCCGGATGGGTTTCGAGACCACGAGATTTCTCCTGTATCGGAACGCCACCGTCGCCTCGACCTTGTACGAGTGATAATTGTGCTTGACGCCCGTCACCGTCTCGAGGAACTTGCGCGGTAGTGGGATGTCAAAGGGGAACTCATACTGTCCTTCTGGCATGGGAAAGGAGCCCAGCGTCTTGGACGAGGCGAGGACTTGCTTGTGTTCGCATGTGCTTTGCACGCGGTCTTCGGCGATCATGAAGCCATCGCGAGGGCTGGAAGCAGCGCAGTCAGCATTGCGCCTTTGAGCGGGAAAAGAGTCAGACTCGATCAGATAACGTACACATGGAGCATTCCTTTCAGTTTCACTTTGATGCTCTTGATGCGCACACCTGGGGGAAAAGCAACGTTGAACGACCCGGTTATCGAAGGAGCGGCCGCTGAATTCCGTGCCTCGGGCATGAATATGCATGATTGGTCAAGCCTAGAAAGAGTGTTTCACATGGAAGCTGTGTTAGTGGTTTGCCATACAATTAAGCGACGCAGCTACGAAAGGACAGAGAAGAAAAAAAGTCATTACCTGAGATCATAGCTGGTTATCTTCTGACGAAACATCAACAGGTCGGGCTACTGAGAAAATTTCAGTATGGTTCCGGTGGTGATGCTGGTGCGAGAAGCAAGTACAACTGATCGGTTATAAAGAATGAAGCCTTGGAGGTTGCGCATTCTTGAACCCTGGCTTCTATACTTCTCCTTGCATTGATGGTAGCATCCCGCAAGCACGCGGACTACCCCAATCGGGGCTAAAAGCTCTGATTTTCTTCATCGCCATTACATCATCTCCCAATGGAGAACGGGAAACATCGTCACTGGAGCCATCCCTGGGGGAGGTTGTCACGACCGGCCTGCTGCGAAGGGGGTGATGGTGCTTTCCTGGGATCTGCGGCATCTCGAACGGTCAGAAAGATTCGAGGAGGCTGTCTGTACGCGTACTATGCTTTCTTGGCTCGCTAAGGGATTCAATGATTTGTTCGTATGCAAATGTGTGTGACATAGGAGGGCAAGCCACCAGACCAGAGAACACTGGCGACGATGTAACTATGAAAGTGATGCCTGAGGTTTCGCCAAGGGCGAGCGAGCGAGTACTGCCTCTACTGACAAAAAGGGGTCACATGATGATCTCAGTCACAGCCCTCTTTCGAGACATTGACTCTTCTTTCTGTACATGACCTGAACTCGTTGTACTAATGCGGTCTTGCGCATATCGCACAAAATAGAGATTCTCCACCCCTCCTTGCCCGCCTTGAGGGGAGCCTGGATGACAGCTGATGGTAAAGACGTAAAGATGTAAAGACGCCACAATGCACAAAGGACCAACATCGACCACTCAGTATTTGTGCATCGTCGAATCTTGATCCAGGTATTTGTCTGAAAGCCACGAATTGTCATAGTGTGGTCTGCGACTTGTACTGTCTCTGTCTCCTCTGCCCACCCAGTCAAGGTAGTCACGCGGGTTCCCAATTTCGCCGACGACCCCACCTTGATGAAGTCTGGAATAGCACTGCATAGATCGATCAGACAGTGGGTTTAGGGCTTCGAGGTTTTCTAGTCTGGTGTTGTAGGTCTGTAGAATGAAACACGTGGTTTGTTCTTATCTCTGGCGAGGACGAGCGTCTGCGTGATACACTTCAGGGAGACTTTGGGTTTAGGGCCAGTAGCGGGCAGTGAATTGGTAAGTATGCTGTTCCGTGTGAGATGGCCAGGTCAGTCCAATTTCAGAATTCGTTCCGTGTTCCTCTCAATGCTCATGTATCTCGTCATTATTGGTCCTACTATGCACATATATAGAACATTATGTATGGGGGTGGCAAGCCGAAAAAAGTGATCCTCCCAGTGGTGATATATACTCTTCCGTTCTTTTAACAGCCGAAGTACCTCTTCTCGATCCAGCGCGGCTCGCGTTCTTCTTCAATGCGTCCAACAACCACCCGAACATTGGGGTAGACGGCGCTGAGTCGCTTGAGACCAATCTTGCCGGCCGCACAGGTGACAAACACAATCCGCTCTTCGCGCACGCCGTGGTCGATCAGCACGCGGACGGCCATCAGGGCAGCACCTCCACTCGACATTTGCGGGTCCAGAAGCATGACATTTTCATGCTCCTCAATCCCAGGAGGCAGCTTGAGGTAGTGGAGCTCTGGCTCTTCGTTCTTTTCATTTGTCTGGATAAGTACACGACCGGTGATGCAGTCGGGAATGGTGCGCTTGAGGGCGGTCTCGAGGCAGGATCCGCCCCGCAAGATGGCGACGGCGGAGACCGTGCCGGCTTGATTTAAGCCCTGGTAGGAGTTGTCGTGGGGAGTATGTACTTCCTTGGGGATATAGTTGGTCACATCCAAGGCTCTGTCACAGTAGTTCGATCATTAGTCGATTACCTCTATGCATTGATGGGAATGCCCACTCACTTCTCGATCAGTAGGGCAGCCAGGCGGTCGAAGTAGAACACAAAGTCGACCTGCTCTGTTGTAGGATCTTGCAGGATCGTGTTCATGCCGATGAATTGTGGTGTTTCATGCATGACGACGACATTGGGAGACAGTTTCTCCTCCGAGGCAAGGAGACCGAGACGAGTGAGTTCTGCACTGTGCTTCTCGGACTTCTCGTCCAGATTGCCTTGAATGTGTTTCACGACCATGTCTGCGCAATTAGTTTGGAGACGGCGCACGGCATGGGTTAGGCTTACCGATAGCAGTTCTGTTCTCGATTCCACGAGGGATGATGAGATCTAAAAACTGGTCAGTTTAAAACAAGAGCAATTAGTGAGTCTCTGAGCTCACCTGATACTGCTCGTTGAGGTTCGACATATTTCTTGTAGGAGGGTTTGACATAGGTGAACCACTGCTTGATGATTCCCTCAATGTCTCTTCCGCGCTCACGGACATCACGCATGACTAGCGGTGGTTTAGTTATTGCACAGCACAAGAACGCAGATGATGCAGGGACTTACTTCTGCGTCCCAGGCAAATGTCCATATCGGCCTCTACGAAGATCTATACAATGGTAAGCGTGTATGCGACCTGAAGAGCTTAGACGACGCACCTTGACATCCAACAGTTCCATGATGCGCGGGTCATGCAAAGCCAAGATACCCTCCAGGATGATCACGTGCGGGGAATAAAGTGTCGTTGTCTGCGGCTCACGTTGGTGTTTGGCAAACGAATATACAGGAATGTCTGCCTTCTTTCTGAATGATTTGAACCAGACGGGTCAGCTTCATGGGAATTGTGGTATGTTGATGATAACACCAAGGATGGTCACTGTACCCTTGTTTCAAGTCCCGCAGGGTCTGCACCAAGACATCGAAATCTAACGACTCGGGACAGTCAAAGTCATAGTCATTGGCATGGGCTCTGGCATGCTCCTCTGGAGTTAAGCTTTTATAGAAGGAGTCCTGTACCACAGCACCGTCAGAAACCAATCATATTGCACACATGGAAACCCCGATAGACCGATAGGCGAGCTATTCGAGTACTGATAGATGAGATGTACCATTACGAGAATCACCACCCATGGCAGATTCAGTGACTTGACAATCTCCATTGCCACCGAAGTCTTGCCAGACCCTGAGCTGCCCGCAATCCCAATAATGCTCAAATCAGCCCATGGTGGCGAGTACTTCTTGTCCTTGTCCGTGGCGGACGAAAACACCGGTGAGATGGACTGCATGATTTAGATATTCCTCCCCAAGGAATTGACGGGCCGAGATACGAATCAGATGAGTCCAGAGGAGGCACTGGTACTCATAACACTGCAGAGGGGGGGTTGAGGGAGGACAGTGAGGGGGGGGGGAAGAAGAAAAAATAAGAGTCCCCGATTGATTGTCTCAGGATAAGGCTTTGGGGGGGAGGGACCCGATAAGACGGAGAGGGGAATTGGCAGGGCACCTGGCAGGCGATACACGATACTTCGACTGCCAAAAGCACCAAAAGCATCCAGTGATCGCCGCTTGACTTCTTTAAGGTTAGCCTCGGTCCGTGACCTTCGCTTGCGGTTTTAGGCTTAGCCAGCTGCACGTGACTGACCTAACAGCTCCCGCCGCATTTCCTTATTTTCTGTCCGCCTGATTTCTTCCTCCGCTTCTCTTCTCTTCTCTTCTTCTTACACTTCCTCTTACACACACTCCCCTTTAGAGGTCACCTAATGGCTCGCGCCTGCGAAGCTCTCCATCTTCACAGACCGCCGGTGACTCAGTACCAAGGAAGTTGATCTTCCTCCAATTGCAATCATGTCTTCAGCAAACTACGTATGCGCCCTGATGTGTCGTGCATGCGTCGTTGCTTGGTTTTAACGGGAAACAGATGTCTCCCTCTTCCCCAACAGCAACGCCGACATGGCATCAGTTTGAGCGGAAGGTTGATGAGGTGAAGCCGTCCAAAATGTGAGTTTATCTTGCCGACTCCCTTTTGTCCTTTTTCGTTTTTTATGATGATCTTGAAAATCAAGTTGGGAATCTCTCTGAATCAATGTGAGGAGAAAATATTTAACTTGTGTTACTGAACCTTCGTCAATGCGCATCGTTGTTCATGATCTTTTAGTTGTGATCGTTTGCTAACATGCTTGTGTTGAAAGTGATATCAATTATCTGGTTATGGACTACCTCATCACCAATGGCTACCCGGCTGCGGCGAAGAAATTCGCGCTCGAGGCCAATATCCAACCCAGCGCAGATATCGAGGCGATTCAAGAAAGAGTCCAAATCCGTACTGCGATTCATTCTGGGAATATCCAAACCGCCATTGAGAAGATCAATGAGCTCAACCCTCAGGTAAGAAACATCCTCTCTTTGCACAACCCCACTTTCCTTCGTATGATTAGATCAGTTTCATGCACCACTCGGAACAATCCTTCGGGATTTGGTCGATAAACACTCATCATCATCAAGAACTTTGTATGATTCGAAGTCACTTCCATTATGTGTACTACATCTCGATTATGGGAGCATCCTCGCTAACTCGCACCGAAATAGATCCTGGATGAAAATCCTCCCCTGCACTTTGCCCTGTTGCGTCTGCAGCTGGTCGAGCTTATCCGCTCGTGCACTTCCACTCCTGATGGAGACATCAGTCCAGCCCTAGAGTTTGCGACCTCGCAGCTCGCTCCCCGGGCGCCCACCAACCCCCAATTCCTGGAAGATCTCGAACGGACCCTCGCGCTCCTGATCTTCCCGTCGGATAATCTCTCTCCATCCCTTGCCCCTCTGCTACAACCCGAGCTCCGTAAAGATATTGCCAACCGTGTGAACGAAGCCATCCTGCAAACCCAGGGTGACTGTAAAGAAGCGCGCCTGCGCAACCTGGTTAAGCTCCGTGCGTGGGCGGAAAATAAGGCCCGCGAGGCTAAGAAGGACATCCCCGACAAGCTGAGTTTGGGGTTAGGGGACAGTAACTCCAGCTCGTCCAGTACCCACGACAACAGTAATGCCGGCACGAGCCAGAATGGCTCGTCGAACGACACTGTAATGACCAATAGTGGGGACGTTGACCCAATGATTTCGTGATCGCTCTGGCGGTGATGCGTTTGCACGTTATTCTGTTGGTTGCCAGCATGGAGCTTGGAGCGATGTTTGATTTCGGTCTGGGTCGTTAACTTGAGCTTAAATTCAGTGGTTCATCATCCCTGGTTTGGTCCTGAGTTGTAGCTGTCGTGGCTGACAGACTGGCTTGCGTTTCCACTGCATTGACGGTCTGGTTGCTTGACCATTGTCATGGCTATTTCGTCATGGTGCATCTGTCAGTTTAAGCATATCCCATATCCGCCCGCCTATAGCTCGTTATATACACCACAGCGCCAGAACAACCCTTGAATTGATGGAACACAATTGTACACAAGCAATAGCCAAGGATCAACACCACAGCTCCGTAGCTATCAGCAAGCCTTCACCATACCACAAGATAAACGACTACGACCCATGTAATATTCAACCTTGAACAAGAAGCGATAGCAATATCAACAACCATCAAAATCAGTACCCAACGCCCATCATGCTAAACATTCAGCTAGTAACAAATCAATCCCATCCCGCAGGAAGGGCTCAAACCCACAACCTCATCACGGCACTCAATGGCGTACAACCCATCCCCTCTCTCAGCAAACAACCATATATACACATCACCACCACCACCACCACCACCCGGCCCTCCCAAACCATTCGAATCCCATCAACAAGATCCAAATCCAAATCCAAATCCAAACTCAAAACCAACTCTCACTCCCCCACCTTCACCACCCACCCATCAAACAAAAAATCAGCCCGAATTCCTCTCACTCAAGTGTCAATCAGCAACAACGGAAAGAGAGAGAAAAAAAATTACCGCCTCTTCGTGCCCCGCAACACAATGCCCCCCACCACGCCAGCCGCCAACGCCAGCCCGCCCACAATGGCAATGCCCAAGAGTCCCTCCTTGGACACCTTCTCCTCGATCAGGGACCCCAGACTGGCCGCCTGCAGGTTGGCGGGCTCCTTCTCCAAGAGGAGGTCGTTGTAGCGCCGCGCCTCGCCGTAGTTGCCCAGCTTGTAGTTGCCCAGCGCCAGGTAGTAGAGGCATTCGCGGCGGCGCTCGGGCGCGGCCCGGAAGATCTCGGAAAGGAGGCGCACGCCTTCTTGTTGGTCGGTGCGGGAGGGGGATTTGATGAGGCCCTGTTTTCGGGGGTGATTAGCCGGGGTTTGGGGGTAGGGGGTAGGGGAGGGGGTGTGGGGAAGATAGGCATGCGGTGGGTTGGATTGGGCTTCGGTCAACGACAAGACAAGACAAGAATAGGAGGGGCAAGGGGGCACATACCCAGGCGAAGTTGAACTTGGTCTGGATGCCGACGTAGTCGCCTTCTTTCTCGTACTGGGCGCGCAGGACTTGGAGTTCGGCCGGTTTGAGCGGGCTATACATTGTCATCGAGAGGTGTTTAGCTGGGGTTCGGGATGCGGGGGAGGGAGTGTTTTGGTTGGATGTTGAGGATAGGATAGTACCTCTCTGCGTCCGCGGCATCTGTATCAGAAAAGGTTGGTTGTTAGATAAGTTCATATCTGCGGGGAAGATGGCTCTTCTTTTTTTTTTTTTTTTGTTTTGATGACGATGGGAAAGCTTACATGGTAGGTTGGAGCCCATGGTTTCTGATTTAGTGGTTGTCTTTCGTGTACTGCTCTTGGGAAAACACCAAGCGTAAGAAGCAGAACACAAGATCCGGTGGATGGTGAAGGAGGATGGGATGTGATCTTTGGCGGAGGCAACTCAGTTTCAACTCGACTTGACTTGCGCTCGGTCTCTCTCCATCTTCAGTGGGTGGTGGCATCCCGTGACGCCAGCCAGTGTCGTCAGGTTTTGTGGCGGTGCCGCCTAACAAGTGGCTTGGCGGGGGTCCTTCCAGAAATTGTAGGCGGGACGATTGTGGCGCCGTTGCTCCAACAACATTAACTTACACAGCTCAGCTTCACAGCTTATCAACTTACACCCCTCAACACCCTAATCACTATCAACGACACCACCTCCACCACCACCAAACCAAAGAACACCACGCAATACCATACCGAAAATGTTACTCGACGAAAACCCCGCCACGGTACGTCAACCCCTTCCACCAAAAAAACCTCCCAACTAAACCCCCCGCCAGCTCATCCACCACACAATCGGCAACTTCAACATCCAACCCGACAAACAAGCCGTCACGCGCATCAATGACTCGCTGGCCACGCTGCAGCAGTCGCGCGAGCTGCGCATGCGCGAGGCCGAGTCCGCCCTCCGCAAGCTCTCGCGCCACCTCTCCGCCTTGAACAACCAACAGGAAGAGGCCGTGGCCGCGCACGACGCCGGCCAGCACGCCGCCGAGATGGTCGAGCTCGACACCAAGAAGTTCCGCATCGCCAAGAGCGCCACCGAGCTGGAGATCGAGAGCGAGCGGCTCGAGGGTGAGCTGGAAATGCTCCGCGAGCGGCTGGCGGATCTGGAGGCGCAGGGCGTCGAGGGGGATGAGCCCACGCGTCGCGAGCGGGAGATGGATGATGCGACGCTGTAAGTTCGCCCCAAAACAAACCATGGGGGGGAAGTGGGTTTGCTGATACTGACATACACGCACACGCACAGTCTTCGATTGAAAATCTACCGATCTCTGGGTGTCGATATCGAGGCGGACGAGACGGGCAACTTCAATAAAGCCGTGATCCGGAATAGTCGCAAGGGTGACGTCCATGTCGTCAACATTGATCCGAAATTCTCGCGGTTCTTCTACTCGAATTATTTCTGGTCGACGATGCAAGGGTAGAGAGGCTTGCCTCTTCGGGATGGCGTTTCTCGTTGGTTTATATGGTGTTGGTGTTGGTGTTGGGCTGGGTTCCTCGGCGTCTCTTACTGTATCTTACATGATTGATTATACCCCCTCCGCCTCTGCTGAATCGAATCTACCTTTCTTTCTGGTATATATCCTCCTATTCACGTAGGACTAAGCGTCGATTGTGACTCTTCTGCCTCCGACTTACCCTCCTCCACCACCCCCTCACTCAGCCCCATCATCTTCAACTCGCGCAGCAAACCCTGGCGATCCCGCTCCGACAGCAAACTCGGCACGCCGCCTGTCGCCCAGAGCAGCGGTTTCTCCTCGGGGAACCGGCTCTGGATGACCGACAGCGCCTCGTAGCGGGTCTCCTGATCATCGGGCGCCAGGTTCCAGAGCGCCCACCACTTCTCCTCCTGCTGCAGCATGCGCGCCTCGATCTGATCCATGCCCGGCAGCGGCAGCGCCCCGCCGTGGCCCGGGGCCTGGTCCCAGGTCAACCGGATGGGCGGCGGGTAGGGCTTCGCGCGCAGCTCAGCGGGCAGCTTGTCGCGGAGCTCCTCCTCCCACAGCGCCAGGCCGCCCTCGGCATCCAGCTCGGCCAGCTCCGAGGCGAGCTGGCGCTCCGGCCCGTGGACGACCTCGACGCCCAGCGGCGCGACGCCCAGCGCCTCGACCGCCTCATTCCACAGCGCCTGCCGCAGCACCCCCCGCAGATCCACCATCAGGTACACGAGCGGCAGCGCGCTCCGCTGCAGCGCCGCGCGCACCCCGGCCGACGCCTCGCGCCGGTTGACCAGCATCCCGACGCGCGGGCCCGCCTGCCCCGCTCCCTGCTGCTGGTGCTGGTGCTGGTGCTGCTGCTGCTGCAGCCGCCAGGTGTGCGGCACCCGCCGCGCGACCACCCCCTCCAGCTCGCGGATGCACTGCGGCCCCACGCGCCGCCGGTGCGCCTTGCACTGCACCGCGACGTGGATCGGCTGCTCGTGGCCCGGCAGATGCCACGTGCCCAGGTGATCGATGCCGTTGTCGCTGCGGCCGCCGGTGCGGTGCAGCAGCAGCGCCGCCGCGTGCCGCAGCTCCGTTTGCACCGTATACTCGTACAGGTTGCCGATGAAGAGCGTCGACGTCCGCGAGAGCTCGTGCCGCCGCGCGAAGTCGATGAAGCTCGCGCGGTTGTAGTGCTTGTGTTTCGAGATCGGGGGCACGGGCAGCTGGTACACCCGCCGCGTGAAGAAGGAGAGCGAGGAGGTCATTTTGCGGGTGGTGCGGGGGTCGGGTGCATAGTTGGTTCGTGTGCGTCGGTATTGGGTAACTGAATGCGGAAGAGCGGATTTAAGTTGTGATCGGTAGTGGTAACGCGGTGGATAAAGAGGGAGCTTGGGTTGCGTGGCGATCGGGGGAAAAAAGTGGTGTGTGAGGGAGGGAGGGCGAGCGGAGCGGAGGAAAAAGGCCGACAGACAATCCTCTCTAATCTTATCGCGATTTGCATCTGATCCTCTACTCCGCCTTGAGCGAGCTCTCCTCTACTCTTCCCATACATACATACTCTTCCACCATCTCTAACTCCACCTCTCCCTCTTACCTACTTGAATTAATCCCTTCCCCCTCACCAAACCACCACCATACAATACCAAGAAAAGAAAAAACAAAAAAGAATCAAAATGGCCGACATCCTAACCCAACTCCAAACCTGCCTCGACCAAGTGCGTCGTCATCCCCAACCCCATCCCATCCTATCCCCCAGCAACCAAACCCAACTAACACCCCCCTCACCAAAAAAGCTAGCCACCCAATTCTACGCAACGCTAGGCTACCTAACAACCTACCACGACAACAGCCCCGCGACCGTGCCCCCACCAACCCAAACCCAAACGGCGCCGGCGGCGCCCGCGCTCGCCAAAATCCCCAAGAACTCGTCCGCGCCGCCGGTGCCCGCCAGCGCGCCGCTCGCGGCCCAGCAGCAATCCAACCAGACGCAACAACAGACGCCCGCCGAGATCCCACAAGCCGCACAACCCGGCGCCGCCGGCGCAGCACCGGAAGACACAACAACAACCGGCGCACCCCAGGACCCCGCCCTCCCGCCGGCGCCGGACTCGCCCCGCACGTTTGCCGCGCGGCAGCGCGAGCTGGCCCGGGATCTGGTGCTCAAGGAGCAGCAGATCGAGTATTTGATTAGTGTGCTGCCCGGGATCGGGTCGAGTGAGGCGGAGCAGGAGCGCCGCATCAGGGAGTTGGAGGGGGAGTTGAGGCGGTGGGAGGGGGTGCGCGGGGAGAGGATGCTGCAGCTTAAGGCGTTGAGGGGGCGGTTGGAGGGGGTGTTGGGGGCGATGGAGGTGGGGGTTTATGGGGAGCGGGACTTCTAAGTTTCATATGGAGTAAGATGGAGAGACGGGGTATGGGGATGGGGATGGGAGGAGGTGGTTGTTCAGAGGGAGAAAGCACTGGTTGATTAGCGGGTGCATGCATCGGATCATGGATTAATGATGAATTCAATTGATTATGGAAGTTATTAGGTACTGGATTGCAGATCTAAGTGCTTTGCCTCTCGTCCAAGCAAGAGCGAAAGCAAAAACAAAGACGTTGACCATGCCTTCTATATGTCTGTCTTCGTCGATGTTCGTCGATGTTCGTCGGTGCTGTGTAGCCTTGTTGTCTCTCTCTCTCTTTTTGTGTCAGTGTATATCGTGCTGTAAATCTGTCCGGCCTCGTTGACGCGCACGCCAAAATGAATAAACCATTAAAAAAAAAACGCCAGTAAATGACACCCTTCCCTTCCTTGAACCATCCAACCCACCGGGTATAGAACGAAAAAACAACAAAAAAAATCACTTGAATAAACTCCGGTATTCGCGCATCCGCTGCTCCTGCACCTCCCGCTTATCCAACTTCCCCCGGTTCATGCTCAGATCCGCCAGCTGCTGCTTCTTCTTGGCCAGCTCAAAGATCTTCTCCTCGATGCTGTCCGCCATGATGAACTGCACCGTCGTTACCGGTCGCGTCTGGCCGATGCGGTGCACGCGGTCGACCGCCTGCGCCACCGCCGCCGGGTTGTACTGCGGCTCCATGATGTACACCTTGGACGCCGAGGTCAAATTCAGCCCCACGCCGCCCGCCCCGATCGTCGCCAGCAGCACCGTGATCGCGTCGTTGTGCTGGAACTCCTCGAGCGCCTTGTTGCGCGCCGCCAGCGTCATCGTCCCGTCCAGCCGCGTGAACCCCGTCAGCCCGTTGTCGCGCAGCGCGATCTCGATTAGGTCCAGGTGCGACGTCCACGCTGAGAACACCACGCTCTTGTACGGCCGCTGCGACTCGCCCTCGCTCTGGTTCTGGTTCTGGCTCTCGCTCTCCTCCGCCGTGGCGAGCAGCTGCGCCACCAGCGCGTTGGTCTTGGTGTGCGGGCCTTCGTACTCGCCCAGCTGCTTCACATGCTTGCGGCTCTGTTTCGCCCGTGCCTGGTCCACCAGGTAGTCTTGGAGCCCGCCCACGGTGATGATGGAGTACGAGGCTGGGATCCAGCCGTCGCAGACCTGGCACCGGAGGTTCGGGGAGTGGCTCATTTGCGCTTGTTCGAACGCCTGGGTCCATCCGGAGAAGCAGTCCGGGCAGAGCACGTCGAAGCAGGGGAGTACAATGGCCACGGCCGCTTGGCGGTCGACGGCCCCGTTGTCAGCGCTGGGCTCCTCGAGCCGCTTGCCGCACGTGGCACAAGTGTCGGCCGACGACTCCTGCATCAGCGTGAACATCTCGTAGGACTTCTTGTCGGTTGCGCCGCTGCTATCGCCGCCCGTTCCCTCTTCCAGGTCAATCGCATCCTGCACGCTCAGCCCCTTGATCCGCTTGCGGTCGTCCGGGTCTAGAAGCTCCTTGCCGTGGGCGCTGACTTGGCGCAGGATCATCATGGCTTTCAGAATGTGGTGGTACATTCGCCCTTTCATCTTCGATTTCTCTTCGCCGGCAATCACCCGCATCATCACATTCGACTCCCTGCGGAAGAACTCGTGGAGCTGGCGTTCCTTTTCGGTGAAGTTCAGCATGACGATCATGTCCTGTCGCGGGGGCAGATCGATCTTGTCCTTGACTCGACGCAGCGTGAACGAATCCACAAGCACGCGCAAACTGGCTAGCACGGTAGCATCGCCTGTCTTGAAGCGACTCAGGATGTACATATTAAAGCGACCCCGGTCGTCGTAAGGGTAAAGACCGAGGAATTTCGTCACGGAGAGCAGATCCTCCAGTCGATTTTGAATGGGTGTGCCGGTCACGGACCAGCGACGCTGCGAGTTCAACCTGAGGATGGCCTGAGTCTGGGCTGCGCTCTGTTCGCGGATGGTATGGGCTTCGTCCAGAACGATCCGGAACATGTTCATCTTGGTCAACGGACTCACCCCCCGTTTCGCTCCCCTCCCCGATAGTTCGCTGAGGACAATGCTGTACGTCGTGATGACTAGATCGTACTTGGACAACTCTTCCACATCGTTGGTCCGAGACGAGCCATGGAAGACGTAGTATGAGATTGCGTCCTCTTCGAGATGCTCCTTGATCTGCGCCACCCAGTTGTTGACCGCGCTGAGAGGCGCCACCAGCAGCGTAGTCTTAGTATTGCGGATGCCAGGGAGGCTCTTGACCAGCGCGGGATCTGGAACTTGCTTCACCCATTTGATAGACTCTCCCAACGAAGTCAGAACCAGCGAGAGAATACTCAACGTCTTGCCGAGACCCATCATATCTGCCAACAGTCCACCCAGGCTTTGCGGGGGCTCCTCGTCGAGCACCGTGCCACTGATGATCTCGCGGTATTTCCTCCTGCCGCCGGACCGATAATCCCTGCGCCATAGCGAATTGTTGTCTGCTTCGTTGGGACCGAATCTGCGCGGCTTTTCCTTTTCCGTCATGAACCAGAGTGCCTGCTTCTGATGACGAAGCAAAGGTGTGCGCAGCCCAGAAGGGGGCTCCATTTCAGGCAGATTATCATTGCTCTGGAGCTGGTCGAACATTTTCATCACTGCGTCGTTGACTTCCTCGGCGGTTCGCACCTCATAGCTGACCCCTACACGACCCCTGGCGGCCACGGACGGCAAGAACGCAGCCTGGGCCCTCCGCATCTCAGCGTGTGGATTAAGTGTTGGCACACCTTGTTCCACCGCAACTGGAGACGTAAGCCATAAATTATGCTGACCGAGGTGCTTGCCGACCAGCGTAGCATCTTTCCGGAGGCCGTATAGGTTGATAGACGCCCGGTAGGTCTCGGAACAGGGTACCCATGGCCATTCGCCCTCCTTCCTCCGTCGAAAATCCAGCCGCGCAGTCAGGTCCACCTTCACGGCAGGCGAATCCAGTAACGGTACAATGACGGCTGCTGTTCTGGCATCAATCACACCAAAGATCTTCCCATTTGGGTCAGAAACTTCAATGCGGTTGTTCCCGCGCGTTTGCCGATGCACCCCGAGTTTCATTGACGGCCAGTCGTGCGTTGAGTCTGCGAAAAGAGAATGGGTCGAAGGCTTCGGGACCAACTGCGCTTGCACCGTCGCCCCCTCAATCTTCCCATAACATACCCTCTGTAGACTGAGATCATTAGACCCAGTGACCTGTATCTCGTCGTCGTCGGTGGCTGCAGCTGATACATCTACCGCAAGGAGTTAGCCGGTCAACACAGGGCTCCCAACTGAGTTTCAGACGTCCCATACCTGTAGTCAAGTCCACGACATTCGCAGTGGACGAAGACGAATCCGCCTGATCTCGCCCTTCCTTCATCCATCCGCCGAGTTCCGAGTTTCCAGTCCCGGAGAAGTTTGTAGTTTGCCCTGCCTTCATTTCTTGATCCTTCTCTACCTTCACCCTCTTGATTGGCTGACTCGCACGTCTCTCCACCCCGTACATGTTCTCTATGAGGCTCCCATGACGCGCATCAGGGCCGTCATCGTCGAGGTGCTCGGAGCTGCGCTTGGTGCTCGTGCGATCGTCGCTTTCAAAGTCCGAGCTCGCGCTCGCAAACTCAACATCGATCGTAGGCGCAGCCTGATGTACCTGCGCCGAAGCGCCCACCGCATCCCCCGCCAGCGAAGGGGTTCGCGTCCCAGACCGTGATGTCATGTTCGAGGTTGCGAGGGAGTTTGTTCTCGAGGCGCCCCCTCTCTGCTGGCGCCGGCGCGGGCTGTTGAGGAGCAGATGTGCGGCCGAGGCGGTACCCGGCGGCGCCACGGACGAGGCAGGACTGCGCTGCGAGGCGGGTGTGGAGGAAGAGTCGGGTTGGTTCGTCGAGGATCCTGGGAACGATGAGTCTTCCGTGTCTGGTCCAAGGGTGTTGCTGTTAAGGGAGGGGGATGAGGGGCAATGCAACGTCGAAAAGAGGAGCGAAGACAGAGGTCCTTCTTCGTCGTGCGGGGAATCAGCGACGTCGGGGGAGGAGGTGGGGTCCTGGTGAGAGGAGGATGATGCGGGCTCGAGCTCGGGCTCCGGGGAGGCTTTACCATTCTTGTTCTGTAGTTGTTTTCTGTGCGCCCGTGGGTTCAACAACATGGCGGCGTCGGAGGAAGCCATGGTTGTCAGATGGAGTCTCCTTCAGCTGCAGGCGGCGAGAGCGAAACACGCGCGCGGGCGGGCGGGAGATCCTGGAGAGACGGATTCAAGATCGCAAACAGGGAAACTGGCGAAGAGGAAGTAGTGAAGGCATAAATCGTCCAGAATAGACAAGCGACGGGG